GTGTGTGTGTGTGTGTGTGTGTGTGTGTGTGTGTCTATCTCCCAGGTCAGGGTGGGAGAGAGCAGCCGCGCCTAGCCATCCGGGATTGGTGCTCGGTGTCCAGCCCGTCTGGGCTCCTTCAGCGCTGTGATCAGCTCCCGGACTGAAGCTGTCGTTGCTGCGGTGTCTGCGTCTTCTCTGGGAAAGCGAAAAAACATGCAGCGGCGCCAGATGCAGCGTTTTTTGGAGCTCACCGCCTCCCTGAATACATCACAGTCATCCACTCCCGTTGGATTTTTTCCGCTTTCTATCCTTACGCGCACCCCCCCTCGTTTCCCGTCCCCTCTATGCTCAATCCGACTGAGGGAGAGAGCTGCAGGAAATGCGCAAAACGCGTCACCGGCGCGGCCCGGCTGTGCGCCGGATGAGGGGAGAGAGAGGAAGAGGGATAGAAAGAGAGAGAAGAGAGAGAGAGAGAAAAATGTGCGTTTGTGCGTCTCCTTTTTACAATCACTGTCAGGTATAAACAAAAGTCTGCCTTTTTACCCATTGTCTTTGAAGAACCACCACCTGGTCCTCATGTGATAGAAATGCAATTATTACCTCAGGCACTGATACAGTACAACATGAGATGCATAAATGAAAAGCTGAAATGCAGTGTTGCATAACATTTAAATCGTGATAAGTCACAGGAAGTGTATGGTGGGTTTTTTTCTGTTCTGCTACCATCGAACTGTATTTTTTCTTGCAAATAATAACTCTTCCAACAGTTCGTGATTTAAATGTGCGTCAGTGACAAATGCCGTCAGTAGGCGGCGGTAATGCCATGCCAAGAGACATCGCACTATCGTTAATGCCCAAGCAGAAAGAAATAAAAATAAGTACACCCCCCCCCCACCCCCCCCAAATGGTCTTTTGATTTTACAACGTAGAATGTTAACATTATTTGGTGAGGGGAGTGTGGGTGGTTATAGTTTGCTACCTACAGATGTAATGATACACTACAATAATACTGCATTCTCCACTATCAAGACGCTTTCAGTCATTTAAAACGTGTAGTGGTGAGTCTCCTCCAGACTCCACTCTTATGTATTGTCCTTAAGGCTTAAATCTCAGCTGACCTATTGACCTCCTTAAGGGTCTATTTACCACTGGTAAACATTTCCACCCAGGAGGCCACCCTGCCTCTCAACCACATCTGAACGCAAAAGAAAACAACTTAGCTGTTGAATACTTTGAGCCCAGTGAACAGGACGTAGGGCAGTTACTGTTGTGTGAAGCTATGGAGTCACTGATCGTAAATGCTAAACAGTATTAAAGTGAAGGAACAACAACGACTGACACAGATTACAGGTGAGTCAAGTCAAGTTCAGGTGCCAAAAAAAGAAATACCGTGTGAGCGTCCAGATGGAGATGTTTTCTAAAAGGGGGGATGGAATTCAGCCCTGGGCATGGAGTCTGAGTGTCATGGTCAAACAGCTCGTGGTGTCAGCCAATCAGTCGGTGTGTATGCGTGGTCACAGACCACACACTAACACTTACACACACACAGGCACACCTTTTATGCCTGAAACAGCACTGTAATGTAATGACAAACAGAGGATAAGTGATACTGCTGTGCCACGAATGATGTTGGACACTTGACCAACAGCAGATAACCTCGTGTGGTTTTTTCCACGGCATTATATATCAAAAGTTGTCTATATATAGCTCCCTTTCCTGACCTTTAGGTATTTTTAAACTCTCTAAAAATGTGATTTAGTATTTTACCCAAATATCCAGAGTGTTTTCACATTTACAGAGCACATTTTGTGACCTCTGTCCTGAGAAAGTATAATATAAAGTTATATATTGCTGCTCAACACGTTATAGTTTTTTAACTGTTTTATAGAATAATAAAATGTACAATAAACCTATCAAAAGCAGCGTAATCTTGCGTTACGGCGTGTAAGAAAACAGTTCATTTGTTGACCATGACAATCCTGGCGTCACCTGAAAAATACATCACTTCTCAGGTAGTTTGCGCCATCTACTGGCTATTTAGGCCAGTGACCACGTTCCACGCGTTTCTAGGAAGTGACGTCATAGCAACGATACGTTCACGTCCGCCTTGAAAAGAATTGGTTTAATAGTGCAGAACGGATTGGTGAGGTTCGAATGAAACACTAAAATATGCAAATTAAAATATTCAATGATGAAAAATAATCAATAAATAATAAAAGCTCTAACAAATTAATAAATACACAAATTAACGTATTTTTTAATTTGTTCATGGACCTCGTTTGGTCGTGAAGTGATCATGCATAGAAAGGACAACTTATTTTATATCTAATGTAAATGATCAATAGTAGGTTTTAAACAGTATACTATAAAAAATACATATAATACTTGTAAAAGTAATCAATTCCATTTGACTGTGTCATATTTATTTACAAATTGTTGCATTAAATGCTGTGGATAATACTGAATAAAAAAATACACACACAACATAATTAAGTCATGTTGCAAATAGAATTGGACTTTAATTTGATTTATTTATTTTAGTGCTGGGTGACGTTCTTTTTTCTCACCTCGGAGTCTGAGTCATAAAAGACCTGTGAGTCAAGTCCATATATAAGTCACACAAAAAACTATTTATATAATCACATAATAAATTCAAATAAAAAACTATCTATTAACTGTATTTTTATGAGTCCTGGTTTTGAGAGCTAAGTATAACACAGTGTAAAACACCACTTAAAAATGTGAATAAAAAAGGGCTTTCAAGGCATTATAAATTAGATCTTTTTATTTATATAAAATACCAAAACACTTATTCGGACTTCAACAAAACATTGACCAGACCATGGACTTTAAATGAACATTAAATAACGTAAATCAAACGTAAACATACAGTCAAAACTTCATACACATGTCATGGGTGATTGTCCTTACAGAGACCTCTAAAGAAACACATATCTATTCATGTGACAACGAAAACATGACAGAGAGAATAAGAGTGATCCGCTCTTCACGTGTGTCCCTGAGATAGAGTCCAAATTCAGATCGTTTTTCATTTTTAAGAATGTGAAAAATATTTACAGTTGCCTACTGTCAGAAATAAATACAATTTTGAGAATTGGTTTATTTGCAGTCGTTGAATAACAAGACCAAAACCACTAGTCATACCTTTAGGTTATCTTTATGAAACTCTCTGTTCTCTGGAAAATAAAGTGTGATGGTCTTCAGGGGATCTTTTTCCCAAAACGTTGATTGGCATCCAAACTTTGACCGCATGAATCATCTTTCTCATCACCATCATCATCTCTCACTTGTACTCAATAGTTTTAGTAGCTTCTAAAAAGTCAATTTCCTTATTTCTAGTGTGTCAGACATCCAGGTCAGAGTCACTGTCGGTCACTGAGAGAAGAGTTTGTCCATCCGTGCGCTGCGTGCTCGTGTCCGGACACATGGGGTGTTGCAATCTAAAGCAGAAGAGAACAATAAGAGGTTTGAAACCGTTAAAGTGTTTATATGTGTAAAAGTCTATATTTAAGCAAAATAACACACAGTCCACGCCAGAGTAACTAAAGGGCTCTGCAGAGTGTCTGCGCCCATTCATGCACACGAAGAGGGCATCTCTTCCACAGAGCGGTTGACCCACACGCTGACCCTGAAGCAAATTACACACAGAGAAAAGGGGAAGGAAAACCGAGCGGGACAATGTAACAGAGAGGAAACAAAAACCTACACGCTGAATGGAAAGCTGAATGCGCTTTTACGCATGAATGGCCCTTTTACGCACAGCCTTGACTACCCGTGGAGAAGAAATCACTTCAATAATTGAGTAAATACCAGTGATTGAGTGACAGGTAAAGAATGTCTACAAGCTTTTAGGCGACTCGCTTATTTGTAAGGTGTTTTATGGGCTTTGAACATCAACAATACGTTTTCGTTGAAATCGTCTGACTGACCTGTTTTTGGCTGCGGCCGCTCGGTCTCTCTGTCGCCGGTTTTTGAACCAGTTTCCGACCTGAGTCGGTGTCAGCCCGGTTGCGTGCGCCAGTTCCCGTTTCTTCCCAGGGTTCGGGTACGGATCCTGCAGGTACCACTCTCTCAGCAGACCCCGTGTGCGTTCTTTGAAGCAGTGCGTCTTCTGTTCTCCGTCCCAGATCGTCTTTGGTAACGGGAACTTCTTCCTGACACGGTACTTGTCCACAGGTCCCAGCGGTCGGCCCCGCAGTTTCTCTGCCTCCCGGTAATGGGCTTCGAGCCACATCGCTTGCAGTTTGGCGTGCGAGGCGCGCGTAAAGCGGTGCGTCTCCAAGATGTGGTACAGCTCTCGGAAACTTCCGGTGTGAAATGCCACCACTGCCCGGGCCCGCTGCACGGACTCGTGCCCAGAGATGGAGTCACGACCATCGGTGGTCAGCGGCAGTGACCAGAGGAAGCGGGCCAGCCGTTCGATGTCCCCGGTCTCCTCCAGAGTCTCACACACGCTGGCGATCTGCGCCGCCGAGAAATACAGTCCAGGGAGAGCCATAGGAGGACAGGTGGAGGGAGGGTCCTCCGGAGACCTGGATCGAACCAAGACTGTGGGCCCATCCGCCAAGTGAGGCAGGAGGAGTCGGGAGGCTGTGACGAAGTCAATCGGAGTTCTGAAAACCATCTGGAAGTCTGAGTTAGGTCCAGGGACTATTGGAAGGAGAGTGACACAAATGTGCTGACAACGGACTCTTTTACTCCACCTGGCAGTCAGGGAGGGACCCTTGAGTCTGAGTCCGTATTGGTCACTCTGGAGGTGATGCAGGGTTGTCATGGCAGCACTGTCAATCAAATGGTGGCGCTTTAATTCTCCTCCTCACTGATGCGGGAGTTGAAATTTAAATAGATGAAAATGAAAAAGAATGAATACAAGGGGTGTTTCAGACTGACTTGGATGAAACAATACCTTTTGATTGGTGTGATGAATTTATTGATAGATGGGGCAGAAAGCAATGGATAAAACAACTAAATGATTTCCAGTACGGTGTGTGGCAAAAGTACTTCCAGTGCATGTGTACTCCAGCAGCCATGTACATAACTGTGTTTATTTCTTAAGTACAGTTTCTAAATGAGACTGGTGCTTCCATCCATTGAGACTCTGTTGAGAAGTGTAACTGAATACAGTAACATTACTGGGATAATTAAAAAGTGAGCAAAAAGGACAGAATAAAGGACATTGCTCTCTGCTCTCATCTCCTTGGCAAAGCTGCTCACATCATTAATATGTTGATGACAGCCGCTGTGCCAGAAAATCTCATTCAGACCTGAAAGCGTATGTTTCTCTAAGTGTATTTTCCCAACCACTCTAATCACTGTTCCTTTCTCTAATGTCCATAAGTTGGACGACACTAAGCCACAATCCAGTTTCATTCCATTCAGTTATTCTGGATTAACGTCAGGCCCGTGTACAATACCTTCAGATAACATTAGTCTAATAGAGAAGCATATTTAATCAACATTAGCACGTTGTAGTGGATCTGGGCCATATGTTTTTAGGGTGTGTGTGTGTGTGTGTGTGTATTTTGGGGGGGCTATGTCAATAAATTTCCCAGATTTCTACAAAATGAATTTAAATTCTTAAAAACTTGCTACAAATTTACTGAATTGTTATATTAATTTATATTTAGTTATTTTTGCTTTTATGAACTAATTAATTGCATGTGTGTTAATGGCCCAATCCAGGCGAGTGGGGCATAAAAGGGGGTCGCCCCCCCTTAAAGGGGTTAATGTCAATTACCCTGTGGGACAGATGTCTCTGTATGTGGTTCTGTAAGTATTTATTAACCACAGATGATGTGTAGGGAGAGTTTGTGGAAAGTTCATTAATTCATCTTCTGCTTTTTAATCCTGGTAAATGTCTACGCAGATGGCACACATGTATACTTGGTAGAGGTGAACATGTGACCTGTGTCCACAGTCAATACTAAATCTCAATGAAGCCCAAAGACAGAGAAAAGTTGTCCTGGTGAGCACAAAAAAATCCAAAGAAAAATTTCGGTCAAATTTCGGTCAAGCCAAGGTGAGTGAAAGGCTTCTCGTGCAGCCAGGAAAGATGTTTTGAGTTTCAGTGTCACTTGTTTGTCTCCTTCACACAAACACACATTCACGCATTCACAGCTCCTCCTGGACTACTTGAGATGCCAGGGTCCACTGAGGACCATAACGTGTTCCCCTGTGCGTCTTAACAGCAGGACAAAGGACACACACATACACACACACACACAACAGTCTGTGAGACAGTCATGGCCAGAGCTCCTCCAAGTTGAAAAGATATTCTTCCCATGGAGGAGCGGGAGGACACTGCAAACATGCTGAGTGGGGGAAATACACACACATATACAAGGTGTGTCTGAGTGTGTGTGTGGTGATGAGGGGACAAGTGTGTCCTAATGGTGACAATTAAGTCAATTCAGCTACATCTCCTTTCAGCCACGGGACAATTAGCAGGCTGGAGATGTGGCTAAAATAAAGGTGGGTGCCAACACCAGCGAGGAAGTGAGTCACTCCTGTCTCTCCTCACACCCCCACCCCCCCCACCCCCTCACAAACAAAAGCCTTGCTCCTAATTAACCCCTCAACAACTTAACAGTGACCCCTTAAGCCCTGAAACTTTAACCCCCTCACCCTGCCTCCTCAGCCGCTCCTCTAACTCCGCTCAAAACCTCCTCCTCGTTAAGCTGCTAATCACTTCCTGAGTCTCTGTTGTGCTTTTGTGCTTCAGCAGAGCTCCAGGAGAGACGGGGACACAATGGTACCCTCCAAAAAAATTGAGGGAGGAGGAGGTAAATTGTAGCGAGGGGATGAAAATAAAGACGTGGAGAAAGTGGGAGGAGGATAGCGGTTTTACTAATACCCTTCCAAAGTAACAGTGAGTAATCAGAGAAGGATAACATGTTATTTTAATACACTGAAGACAGTTGATTCTAGGCTAATTACATTCGGTTGTGGTGAGAGACGCCTGCATTTGTGCATGTGTGTGTGGTCAATTTGTCTACATCTTGACCTGTGTCACCAAAAACCACCGAGGAGGACAGGTAGTCAAGTAACTGTACCTGAGCTCCTAATCCTGCGCACTGATTGGTTTGTAACCCAGCACCTCTGTGGTAATCCTCTGGTGTTTCATGGTGATTCCGTGGCCCAGCTGTGTGGGCCACCGGAACAGCTGGAGGGCAGGGGTTTGGGCAGAGAAGGGAAAACAAAATACCTACTGATGTAAACATGTGCACACCATGCTGACAAACGCAGATGGGTGAGAAAAACGTGAGGAATATTGTGGCGTGGACTGGAGTTTTGTCGAGTTTCCCAGTGTGTCAAACAACCTTTAAATGTGTTCAATGCAAAGCAGTGCACTGTCCAACCCAAAGGTTGTGGGTTCTAAGCTCTTTAAATACAGTAAGATTACAACGTGTCCAGACCAGAAAGCAGTTAGTTTTGGGAAGCTGAGCTGACAGTGTGGATGAATGGACAATGATCATGTTTAATTCTAAATACATTAGGACTTAGTTTAGGTTTAAATTCAATTGAATGAAAAACGTTTCCCAACGTATATGTATATATGTATAATAATGAAATACTCCAATGTTAGCCTGCAGAGACAGATGTAAAGGCAGTAGTTACCCTAGTTCCTCTGTGTGTGCAGTGGGACACATGACCTTTTACTACACAATGTTTTCACATCATGGTGTCAAGTTTTTAAAAAAAAATCAAGAAAAAGTGGCCACCAGAGGGACAGAAATATGAAGATGTTAAAATACAGTATTTCATCTGATTCATGGGTATTGTTTCCTACATGGGAGTTCTATGGGCAAATATACTTGAATTAATGAATAATTAAGTTTAAGAAAATGTATGAATAAACTTTTGATGTTTGTTTTGTACTGTGCATGTGGAAAAGTGATTTCAGCTATGGCTAAGGGAGAAGTTGCATGCGTTCGACAGCAGTAGAGCAGCGATGCAACGGAAGGAAGGCATGAAACACATCACTTCCTGTTTGAGTCACAAGAGTCTCACCACAACTGTACAACTGTACAACAGATTCAAAGGCTTCATTCTGAGTGCATGAAAGTGTAAAAATGATTCTTTATTTAAAAAATGTGTACAGCACAGATTTAGGTTCGTGTGCAGGAAAAAGATATATTTATGGAATTAGATAATTATTAGATTTTATAGTTTTATAGACGACAAAGGTCAAAATTTAAAATTACATGTTTCATAATAGGCGTTTTTTACAATGATTCCTGTATTTATTTATTTTTATTGAAAACAAGTAGTAGTTGAATCATAGTCTGGATAATAGAGAAGGCCAAGGTGATAGATGATGGAAATGAATGCAGCAGGAGGCAGAGGACAGAAAAGACCTGATGAGACAGATAAAAGTGGGACAAGCGCGTCAGGACAAACACGCAGCGAGAGGATGAAATGACCTGAAGAATGAATGAAAAGAGAATCCTTTTCACGTAATTGGAAGGTTTGCCCAAGGGGTCGGGGGTGGGGGTGAAAAGCTGTACTGTCTGGTGTGGTTGGGGGTAATCTGGTCTAATCTGCTGCATGTTAACCTATCTGAGCAGCAAGAGCCAGATTATCCCTCTAACAATGGCCACCCGCTCATCTGCCAAATTACTTCACTCAAAATCATATGCTGGGGGGCACCCACACACACACACACACACACACATATTGAGAGAGGTATATTTCAGTTTGTTAGTAAATTGCTCTCCTTCCAGCTCATTTGGAACAATGAGACTCTGATGAAGGTGTTGCTTTGAGTCACCACTCTCATCCAAGGTCACACTCACAGCCGCGGTGTGAAAAGACAAGAGTGGGTGGAAAAAGAAGGAACTGTGGAGAATGAAGCATAAACACGATCAGGAGAGAGAGAGAGAGAGAGAGAGAGAGAGAGAGAGAGAGAGAGAGAGAGACTCTCCAAACAAAGCAATTCATCAGGCATCTCTCCTCTGGACACGTGTCCTTTCAACACACCGGGGTCAGGCAGGTCAGCCCACCTGCAGATGGAGAAAGCACCAACCAGCCGACAAGTATCTTCACTGTCCTTTCAGCGGAGAAATGAATGAATACATGAATAAATGCAGAGAAATTAAAGAAATATTCCAACATTGTGCAACTCGCCCAGGTGTGCGCTCCCTGTTAATGGAGTCTGTGAGGTGGCGGCAGCTTTAAAAAGAGCAGGTTGTAGGGGCAGGTGCAGCGAGAAGCTGTAAGGTTTCCACAGAGCCGTATCAGTTCAAATGAACAGACAAAAGGAGAGGGAACTCGAGGACAGAGTGCTAACGTGTGTCCACAGCATAGACTGCATATGATCAAATGGATGGAGCCACGCTGTTGCAATACAAAGTTACATTTCAAAGACTTGAATGTGACCTTTGACCTCCAGCACTGGCAGTTTATTTCTGAAACCTTACTGATGTCTGCAACTGAGTTTCTATTGGACAGTCCCACTGCCAATCACATGCAGCGATCAATGCTTCTTACACATTACCCACAGTCCTCCAATAATAACGACCCCTAATACTGCTCCAGCTGGGACACATGGATGGATGAGTGGTTTGTGCTGTTGCCTTACAGCAAGATGGTAACTAGTTTGATCCCTGCTGATACCTGATGGTTTTGAATCAGTAGTTCGAGCTTTCTGGTATTTCTGTCAGGTACTGCTGTAAAAACAAATTAAATAAACACAGATTAGAGATGACACAGTGCATGTACACACACACACACACACACACACACACTTGCGCGGAACAGGTCAGTAGCTATTGTTTTGTAGTACCAGGCTTAATGTGGATTGAGTGGGTGAATCAATGTGGACACACTGTCGTCCTCCACCGTCATCAAATTAAATTCACCCCCCTTGAAACATACACACCAACATCATGTTAGTATATCTGCTTGACGCATTCAAACACTGACACACACACGCGCGGCTGCCCCATAATCCCACTCCAGATTGAGCAAACCTTTAAGATACACTGTGAATTTGATTAGGGATTGTGATCAAATTATGCCAGAGTGACAGATAAGGAGTGTGCGTGTGTAAAGGAGATAAAGAAGTGGCAAAGTAGTGAGTGCAATATTTTACACTGACTACAATTCATAGAGTAAGCAAAAAACTGTTGAGCATATGATTTATATATATAGAATCCTACCTTCAGATTTGGACCACTTTAATAAAACATTTAAAACTATTTTCTTTATCTAGCAAAAAAATGAGGTTAAAGATGAACAAAATACTGTTTTTACTCCAGTCAAGGCCTGGCATTATCTGTGTCGTGCAAAACAGTCCCAATACTACAGCACCACATAGTGGTCACAGTGAGCGGTCACGAATGTGCATTCATTTTATTCATGTGTCGTTGTCCTTCATGGTCATATGTGAACAAGACTTTTTTCTATCTATTTTCTATTTCATGCAGAATAGAATCTGTATTTGAGATTGAACAGAATTTAACTGTATCCTGATCTTTAATATACATTCAATTTAAGATTTTAGTCTGAATGGACTGTTAAAAAAACAACAACTACACTTTATGAACTGCTTTAAAAAAAGGTGCATTGTCATGTAGATGACTTTGTAGGGGTTTTCTGCAACAACCATAAGTGGATTAAGAATTGTTGCCACTTCTGTCTCACCACACCACACCACACCACACCACACCACTGCAGCCACATCCTCTCTTTCATTCATCCACATCATATCACATGTACACACAGACACCACTGGGTCCTTGGCAGGTATTTTATTTCATATATAGACGCTTTCTGTAATCAAATGTGAGTGCAATCAAACAACAGCAATACAAACATTACCAATGCAGTCTGAGAACCAGGAACAGGGTTAAAACAGGGAGTTCACTCACTCTACACAGCGAGCAGCTAGTGACTTCATGGACAACATAAAAAAAAATCCTCTGCCAGGAAAGTCTGCTGTACCCCCAACTGCGATGTGTGTGGCGAAGAAGGTGTGGACACAAATTTCATCCCTCGCCTCTTTCCTGTTAAAGGGAGGCCAACCAGTGATACTGTGCAACAGCCTTTCCAGCTGATCCGCCACCATGATTCCACCTTGCCCTCAGCTTAGCAGTAAACTAAATAACCTCCCATTTCCCCCATTTTGATTATCTTCGTCAACTTCCTAAGAGAATCAGCAAAGAAAAAAAAACAATATATTTCTCAATATTTCTCACATGGCAGGAGCCAATCAGAGCCCATCAGGTTCCTCGGGTTTCATCGGTTTAAACTAATCAGCGTCCATCTGGGTCACCAAGAAACAAACAAATAGCTGTGCGTGTAGAACCAAAGTCCTCGTACAGCGTGCTGTAAAGGGGGCACGTACATACACATGCACAGGTGTAAGGTGGCAGGGGCGTTTGTGTTCTCCATGTGTCTGTGTGTTAAAAGTGTGTGCCTGTGTGTTTTATGCGCTTTTAGGAGGAGAGAAGCAGGGATTTAGGCAATAATCAGAAACCAGACCACAAACAAATATCCAGGAGAAGAAGAAGAAGAAGAAGAATTCCAAAGTCTTTATCTTCCACTCGGTTTTTCCTCTGGCCCTCCTCTGAACACGGTTTCATTTGTCGCACATATAAACACAAACACACACACTGTAGGTCCTCATATAATTGTGAAGTCAGGTGTTCATTGTCAACATTCATGAAAAGAAAAAGGGGAAAACACCTCAATGGTAAAAATCATATCACAATGTTCATAAAATCTCAACATGTCTGAAAAGTGATTCTGTTTGTCCTCCAGGTTTAAAGCAGTACACGTGTGGGTGTAGTTGTCATTTGCCATCCCACTGCTGCCAACACACACACACTCACATACACACACATGCACAACCAACATACACACTCACACACTCCAAGACACACCACATGTCCTCTTTTTAGTGGAGAAAGACATGGCGCAATGGAGAGAGACAGAAAGAGAAAGAGAAAGACTCCTCCTCTTGGCAGATGCACTGGTCACCGGGAGGAGACGGGCACTGCCACAGCTACCAGGGGTCCTCCAGCTCACCGGCACTCTGGAGAAGTCAAAAAAAAAAAAAAAAGAAATAGAGGAGAAGTGTTTAAGAAGACATGAAAACTGTTTCTACTGATACTACAACCTGAGGGGACAATGCTGTACTTTAACTCTTTGTCTCTTTTGTGTAAACCACAATGAATGGAAAATGGTAAATGGTGGTGAGATTCCCCCTGCTGGTTGAAAAGAACAAAACCCAGACCTCTGATGACTCACCTCAGGGAGAATCATGAGGCCAACTGTCACACTGAAAAACAGGGGAGAGAGAGGGAGAGAACGTCCCTACAAGACTGCACACCTTCCCTCACGCTTATCACTAGCAGAAGGAGCCAGGAAGCAGCAGCTGTTAATTATGTCTGACACGTCCTAAAGCTGATGTTTGTTACCATTTTGAAGTGGGTTACAATTAGAATGCCTTGTAGCGGCTGACATCTGACATAAAGTCAAGGGACAGGAATGACACTGTGCTGAAGTCGAGACACAGGAACACAGAGAAAACTACACTGTAAAACACTCCAGTCAGATTATCGTCCATCACATATAACATCCATTTCTACTCCAATTTCTGTGGGTTTATTTAAATTGGAACAGGATTCAAAGGCAAATGAACTGTGAAGCCAATAGAGACAAAAGTACTCACACTTGATACAGAGTGATGTCCCTGGAACTAAAATCAATTTTATTGGTTCATTTAACATTTTAGGCTGATTAGGCCTACTTAATTCTATACAAATTCATAAAACACAAACTGTCACACACACAGGCGCACACACACACACCGCATAGATCTCTGACTTCCTCGCATTACACTTAAGTGCATCAGATACTGTAAGAGTGCTGCATGCAGCAGTGGAAGACTTGTACAGTCTCCCTCTGCCTGCCGTGAACAGGGAAGCTGCTTCAGCAGTGTGTTTTGATTTAAACGTCCACCAAAAAAGTTTGAACTTGTCTCCTGATGAACATTTTCAATAGATCTATTTTGACCTTTTGTATTAAGTCTGTGTGACAGTCAACACTTCTGACTGGAAGCATGAACTGTGCCCACTTCATTATATATATTTTTAATCTTTGGTAACTAATAACACAATTATTCTACATGAAATACATTCACTTCAGTGCTTGTTAGGTTTATTAAGGCATAGGCTTTGGATGAGGTCAACAGGTTAACTAATGCTAACATGGCAGGGGATTTTAGGAACTTGGGAGCAGTGGAAAAACAGCTGGATTTAATATTTTGTTTTATTCTTGCTGTCCATTTAGTGACCCATTGAGATAAATATTTATTATTAAGCAATAAAAGTGCAGTTTGTAATTATGGTGAATTGCCTAAGCAAGGTTTTCCCTAAAGGAAACTGAACTTTTCTGTCAATATTTAGCTGTTTTAATAGTTAGTTTTAGGCCTTTGTCAAAATATTACATTTATAAAGAATTTTATTAGATGGATTTTGATGATGAGCATGACACACATCATCAGGTAATGTCAGCTGGTCTGTACAACAACAGCAGGCCTTCAAGACATTCACTGATGTCATTGGCAACAAAGCCACTGATGGACACTCGATCCCATTTGACTGCAGTTTAACCTGAATTTCATTGTTACCCCCAAAGCTTGCGTTTTTACACTTTACTGAAGAAAACCAGATACTAAATCTTAGTCTTAAATCCCATTTCATACGTAGGGAGACTGGCTTTGTCCATTATGGGACCATAGATCTACATCCATTTATCATACAGTCTACTCATCTGCTACTACGAAAAACATGCCCAGATGAGATACATAGTATATTAGCAATGTGCATGTAGCACAATTTCTCTTTGGGGGAAAATCTGAATAGTACTTATGTTTAATTTCCCACCTCAGTGCAAATAAAATATGTTACTTGTCAGATGTAGCCACACAAGTTTTTTTTTTCTTTTTTCTCAACGTGCTCTGATGACAAAAATGTCAGTCAGATTACAACACGTGTTATATTTTATTGTTTGCCATCGTAATAATTATGATGGTAGTAAAGCAATAGCTGGTCTCAAAAAAGACAGGACTTTGACATTAAGAGAGTAAAATACTGATAATAGATCTATCTTCTTCCCCTATCGCACTGACAAAGGTCCTCACGTGGTGATCTTTTGCTCTAACCTTCTCAGGCTCTTTTTCCCCCCCCATTCTTTAACATAGTCTTTCTTGACACAAATAATAAACAACACATTGGTAGGATTTAAGGGACACATCTTTTAGTTTCAAACATAAACAGTTGCATTAAAGGTCATTAAGTGCTGCAAGTGGCGAAGAAGGAAAATATGTTTAAACGTAGACCAAGTTGGTTTTTATAAGTTACATCAAAGCAAACGGTTTACAATGGTCGACCAAGTTTGCCTTTTCTGATGCTCAGAATATCATGACAAGTGCTATGTAATATGAACTTGAGTCTAAAAGACGCCACTGTGTCTGTCACCCTCACATTCATTCTGTATAAAATTGAAATCTGTTCAAATCTTCTGCTTTAACCGGTCGGGTTACATCTTCACCTGTAGACTTTGTAGACATTTCATGGCACTAAACCATAGATGTACAAACAAGGAGGCCTTAAAACGTTGTTTACTCTACCGTACTTCAAGTCATAACAAATATTATGACAAATCAGAACAGTCACTAATGTGGCGTAGAACCGGCCTCCTTATGAGTGTCTCAAGGTTCTTTCATACGTCATAAACAGTAAGAGAACTTGGTCTATGTTGAAGCAAATTTTGTCAACTATTTTCACACTGACAGCACTTAGCATCCCTCTGACAACAGTGATGTGTCATAATGGCAGCATTACCTCTCTAAGCTTGATTTGAAAGAAAATTAACAAAGTTAATTAATGAAGCTGTTGGCTAACCAACTATAATCTAATGCTGCCCAACAGAGCAACCTTTTATGTTCATTTTGTGAACAATCTGCTTGCATAGTCTTTATTGTGTTTTAGTTTTATTGGGCATATATCTGAAAAGAAAATGATCAACCCAGGTGGTTGATAGAAGCAAGTAGTACAATTGTCCACCCTCCCACATATTCATCTGTGGTCAAAGTCCCACAAAGAGCCTTAGCCGAGTGAGCTGAAAAACAAATGACAGCCTATGGAATTATACTCGGTTAAAGTTACAGAGGATCTTTCAGAGGTGACCGGTCTCTAAAAACTCACACACAGACACACACACACAATCAAGCATACCTACATAGATACAGACTAAAGAGCGTGTTCCGAGTGAGTGGATGGAGTCGGCCTGCAGACACAGCTGCAGTACAGAGTGTCCCCTTCTCATTTTCTTTGTCAGTTCTTCCACTGTAAGCACATGTTAAGGGAAGGTTGTGGGAGGGGTTTCAGCCAGAAGCCAACAATGACCACTGTTGGTTTTTTTTCCCCCATTCACACACCACTTTTACACTTAGCAGTAAATCTAATAATAATAATAATGTGCCTTATTCTTATAACATGGGTCTCTGTGCTCAAGTTGTAAAAGTGCATGTTTGTGGAATTTAGGCTAAGGTTGGTCAAAAGAAGGTGGGAAAAACACATTAGCAAATCCAAGTCTTGTTATTTTTTTTTGTACCAGACTCGACAACAGAACTTGAATGAACAGAGGTGATTGTCTGGCAATGAAGCATTAGTGCCAGGCAACCACAAAGCCGAAACTGGCAATTGTGTCAGATCAAGTTCTGTGATGAGGGACAGAGGAGCGGGGGCAGAAGGAGGGGGTTGTCTCAGCACAGTAGACTGGAGCTCTGGGATTAGACAGGAAGGTGGGTGGGTGGGTGGGTGGCTATGCAGGTGGGATATTCAGCCAGAGAAGGAGTTGGTTTCAGGAACTGGTACATCTAGGATGCCCTCGGGCTTTGCTGTGGCAGGTGAGGGCAGGGACGAGGGGGGAGAGGGATGGGAGGCAGACTGCTCCCGGCCAGCTTTGCCATTGTTGTCAGGAGTCGTCCCTTGCTCCCCTTTTCCCCTGGCAGCGCTCTCCCCCCGCTGTGTGCTGTACGTGGCCAGGGACTCCTCCAGCACCGCACGGTACTGCCCCCGGTGGTGGAGGCGGAATTGCCGCAGAGCCTCCAGCAGATGAGCCGCCGCGCTGCCACCTCCCTCCTCATTCTCCTCCTCTCCCCCCGCAGAGGCCTGAGGTGACACGCCAGGGGTCAGACTCTGCAGGCATGCTCCAATGGTCAAACACACATACTGTACATCTAACCAACAGATCTACCACACACCAGCATGACAGTGTCAAAGACATTCCTGTGCCTGTTGGACAGAACCATGCAAGCACTACCTCTGACCCTGTGGCCAACAACCTTTTGTGATATTGGCTGTATGATGTAATAGAGAGAGGAGGGGGGGGGGGTTGGTCAGCACCCACACAGCCCAGAGAAAAGAGCCTGGAAGTCCAGACTTTACTAACAATAAGGTGACAAACTGACACACACATACACAGTTTTAACATTACAACCAAACTCTTTAAACAGACGTGGGGTTTTTGTTTAAAATACAGCATTTGGAAATGACTTGTGTGACTTTGTTACAACTACAAAACATTTTCTGAATGATGCACACCCCAAACCATTAATTTACCCATGGGTAATGCAGAATAATACTAATTTCTCATTTAAAAAAATGGGTCACTGTGTTTTTTTTGTTTTTTTTTACAAAAACTAAACTAAACTGCAACAATAATAACTGTCTTACAAAAGGTCAACAAAGGCTTAGCAAAGATTTGTTGGCAATCTGGCAATGATAATCTGCCAGTGTATTGCTTGACATATTGGTGTTTTCATAAATGCTAATCCAAATGCACAAAAAGAAGCCATAACGACTTGTTTCTTTTTGTATCACAGAATACAGGCCTATTGCCTTTTGGTGTAGTTTTTTCAGACTGTGAGCTTGAATGTTTTAGAATTAAAAATTAGTTTTCAACTGTAGGCAGGAATAAAATAGTTACTTTACAGCTGGAGGTTGAATTCTCACAATTCAAACGCATCTGCTTTGAAAAGAGAAGTTTGGTAGATTAACAAGGTTCCTGTTCTACATCTCGTTTCCGTGATTAATACACAGAGCCCTTTAATACCTCTGAAGATAAATCAAACCAAGACCTGCCAAGGTTATTCTGTTTAGAGTATCCTGCACCTCTTTCTCCCATTTTTTTGCACTTCATCTTTATTCAAGTTCTCTGTCACTCCAACACATACAGTATGTACATCCAAGGGGGAAAAGGTGTCCTCTTCTGGGCTGGTGTGTGTTTATGAGGTCATGTTAGAGGTTAGGATGAAAGGTGGAAGAGATGAGGAATGAGTTTAAAGAGAAAGAGATCAACTCACGCCTTCTTCTTCTCTGTGAGGGTTCAGTTTGTTGTACACTGCCTCAATCACGCTGCGTCTGCAAACACAAACAGAAAATGGCGTGACGCTCAGTAAGGAGAAAGACTCCAGGCCTAATATAAACAGTCTACGTTCACCCTTCGCAAATGTATATTGATTGGAATGATAATGGAATCAAAAAAGAAACCCGATCAATACAAAGTATCCGCTATTCAAGCATCAAGAGATGAGAGAACATCTCCATTCACAAGTACGCTTAAGTGTTTGGAGAAATATTAGTGTACGCCTCGCTCAGGCAGAGTGGTTAGGAGTTGTTTTCCAATGATAAAATCTCAGTTACTTATTTTCCTATTTACATTAGGCTCCATTTCCCGCCTAGAGAAACAGAATTTAAACAACACATTTAAAATTTAGATACACAAAGATAAGACCTTTGGTTATTACTCTTTATTCCAGTAAATTAGGATTATTTCTCATTAAACTTATGCCTTTGTAGACTTTTTACATTTCTCAAAATAAAGGCACAACCAATACTTTTAGGTTGTTGTTTGACAGTATGTTTGTGTGTTTTATGCACAATGCATTCCAAGTTTAGCATTTACTTGCTGGGCAGGCCGCCCCCAGGTGGAAGGTTGGGGATGTTCTCTGTGGCAATACTCCTCAGGACAGACACCAGGTCAGGTACTCCAGCCTCCCCACAATTGGCAAGTAGCTCTGCAACAAAACCAAGACAATTAGATAATTGACAGACTGCTTTGTTGCAGACATAGGAAGATGTATAATAAATCATTAAGCCTCCTCTCTAAATGCTGAGAAATTAACTGCAGCAGGGGTTAAAGAGAATCCATCCTGCAGCAGACTGTTGTTAAATATTTGGGCTTCCTTAAAGAATAATTATTTTACCTTGGTGACACGCATACAGAGTACATTGTGTGGCAGGATTAACTGCTTATTATGACACAAAATGTGTTCTTCTTAAGGTATTTTATAATTGAACTAAGTAATAACCAGTGATGTTTTTACACACAGCAGCACCAAATTAAACTTATGTCAGTGGTATGTAAGAAGTGCTGACCCTCGACGCGGCTCTCCAGGTATTTGTCCAATTCCTCTTCTTTCTTCACAGCCTCCTCCGAAACCTTGGGAGCTCCAGGTAGACACACCAGCACCACACTCATGTTGTCCCTGCTCCCCTGCAGGATGGGCAGATGCCACACAAATGAATGTTTTCTAAACTGATTATTTAGACATTTTGAATTTTTTTTAACTAGTCCATCAGACAGTCTTATAACTCAACAAAAAATATATGATCTGGGTTATCAAAACACTTAAGTCACATCACATCATTCATTTTGATAAACATTTCTCAGCCCTCACAAAAGGGAATTATTTTTAAAATCTGTTTACATGTTGTTTTGCACATTTATAACCACATAATGATTCGTCAATGTGAGTTCTTCTTGTGAGTCTTATTTCTGCTCTACATTTCCTTTTGTATTTATATTCTTCAGAGTTGAAAACTTGATGAAAACTGCAGTTAAACTGTGTGTAGATGTAATCATGAATATCAAATATCTTGAAGATTAAACTTTGAATCAAGTGCCTTTTTAATTTAACCCTACGTTGTCTCAATAGACATTATTATTATTAAACAGCCGGGTTGTCTAAACACTGGGGAACATATTGACTGGCTCACATTGGTGGAGCACAAAGTCACCTACAGTCAAGCTGAAGCTCTGGACATAAACCAAAGGATGGCCATCATTTCAATACCTGGTAGAAAGTCACTGCAAGTACCGCTCTATAAGTGTACAATGTCACAACAATCACAACAGGCAGCACAGCACAGCAGATTTATAACAGTGTTTTCCTGTTCCCTGTGTTTACCCATCCAGTAATGTAAAAATAGCCCTGCTGCTGCACACTTGTGGTTGAAAAACAAGAAAAATAACTAATGCATTTATGGGGAAGCATGATGTAATGACTGCTGGAAGGGTTCAGTTCAGGCAAAGAGCGAGGCCTGCTTTATCTCGGATCGATAGCTGAGGCTGCCAGCGGACGTGATGATAGCAAGGCAGCCATGCATAATTCAACATCTGATTTGTCTCATGTCCCACACTGGGTTGTGTTAAGTTCTGGAACTAATTCACCAAAATGTCATTGTCATTTCTTTAAAATGATCAAGGTATAGGCCATTTAAACAATTCTAAAAACATTTTGGTCAAACCACATATATAATCATTTGTAGGACTGAATCGTGCAGCTTTACCCCACCATCTGGGAAAGTGCACAGTGATTAGGTGGGGACAGGTACAAGGTTCATGACAGAATATTAAAACTCACACTTATCACCATGTGATTAAATTATAAAATTACAAAGAAATTAAATTTGTCATCAGTATTTTTTCATGGCTGTAAAAAAGCCCAAAAAAACCTTAAAGAAAAATTTAAACAGAGAAAAACTAAGCTTACCTTATGCAAGCAGGTGTCCACCACCGAGTTGCAGACCTTTTCAAGATCATCACACACCAGGAGTCGTGAGCGGACAAACTCGCACAGCTCCTCATTAGACATCACGTCCCAGATGCCATCACACGCTAGCACCACAAACTCATCTCCTTCAACAGTTCGTTCCAACACACATACCTCAGGCTCAGGGCTCACCAGCTGCTCCGTCGGGCCCTTACCATCCACACATTTGTAGTCATAGTCCCCAAGAGCCCGAGACACAGCCAAGGAGCCGTTTACCCTCTGGATCATGACTGAGCCACCAGCGTTCTGGATCCGCTCTTTTTCAAGGGGGTTGCAGGGCTTGTGGTCCTGTGTGGAGAAACCCACCTTGCCAGCTCGACTCAGCACTGCTCGAGAGTCGCCGCAGTTAATGAAGTAGAGGTGGGTCGGGCTAAGCAACACGCACACAGCTGTTGATCCGCTGCGGTCCAAGCCCTGCCGCAGATCACTGAAGCTGCGCATGTACTCGTCAATGTTCAGGAAACCCGAGCGGATGCCATCTTTCACACCCTCTACTGAACATGGTCCTGAACCAAAGTCGCTGCCTCCTGACAGGATGTGCTCCAGCAGGTGACCAGAGCAATAGTTAGCCACCCTGGAGCCCGCATGGCCATCGTAGACGGCGAAGAAAGACCAGTCAGTGAGTCCATGGGGGAGACCCACCACAGCTGTGTGGGCATCCTCCATCTCCACCCGCCAGCCCTGCATGGAGCTCAGGCCATATCGCAGTCCATTGCCCTCACCGTGGGCGCTGTGTTTCTCCGTCTTCGGCTTGTCCAGGAATGCACCCATTTCTGCCTATAGCTGAGGGAAACAAAGAAGCAGGGCACACAAAAATGAGCTACAGTATATTCACTGGAAAAATAAAAATGCAATCATTTCCACGCTTTCCACCCACAATTACAATTATTATTTCTGTTTTGGAAACAGTAAAATACTACTAGTGTTTGATATTTCTGTTCATATAACAAATCATAGGAGTGTAAAATATATTTAAAAGTTTTCCAGCCATGCTGGGCTAAAGAGGAGCACTTAATAGACACATTTCTTTGCTTTCTCTATGAAAGCTACACAGGTGGGGTCACTTCCCTATGGCCCAGAAACAAACCCTTTACCCTTGGTTAATAGATCCAGCAGCCTGACTGCTCTGCACACCAAGGCACAGTCACTGGCAGTCACACGGCCAAGGTCTGTTAAAAAAAAAACATCCCCACTCTAAATACTACAAAGTATATACTGTGTAGTGCATAGCTTAATTTAATTTTTTATTGCACCAAACCTCAATATGCAGGTAATTTTTGTTCTAATGATATATAAAGGGATTATAGATTAATTCTTGTTCAATTGTGTGTAAGCTGTAGTAAGCTGCTTCCTACTATTACAGTATTACAAGGTTCATTTAATGACCTAATGGATGGTGAGAGGCACAGATCCTAACAAGACCAAGATGGCAAACAACATTTAGTCATGTGATCATGCTTCTGTGTGCTGCCCTCACTGTGATTGTCGCTTCTGTCTACAGACAAATATAGATCATGTCTAGTTCTGGTGATCACTCAACTGTTACCTCATACTATGGGTTTTGCCAACTAGCATGTACACAAGCAACTCTGGAATTGATCCCACAAACCTCTGGATTAAGAGAATTTCTTGTAAGCCACAAAACATTTTGAAGCGCAGATAAGAGCCAACAAATGGAGAAAGTGAATTAAACAATGCCCTATAACATTTTATAGCTGACAGACAGTTTCAGTCACAAATTGAAGTACAAGCTTATGATTATCACATCTAGATATTAAACGTGATGAGAGAGAACCCCTCTCCCGGTATATACCGGAAGAAAGGACAATAACGTTAACATTGAAATTTTATTTAAAATATATTATTATTAATATAAATTTAGTTTCAAGTGTTTTTCCTATGAAAAACCAAAGGCCCCTGAATACAGCAAAACCTACTTATCAACAGTCCTCAACTGTTAACACTGACTCATATTGTATTTTTCACTTGCACTTACATTTCCCATCAAACCAATCAATCCTGACCTAAGCCAGCAGCTTCTGCAGCATGAAGCTACTTAAAGGGTGCATTGCTTAGCTGGAGTTGTTGCACTCATGAGATCTTAAAATCAATTTAAAAAAAAAAAACTATAAAAACTGAAAGCACCCTCGGCGCCTCTCCCACTCCTGTACATATTGATTACTCGCTCTGCATTACCTTCAACATGAGTGCACACACGGCATGACAGGCGTGTGCCCAAAAAAGGATGGTACAAGGAGTGACTACAGCTGGTTCCAGAGGACTGTGTGTGTGAGAGAATGTCTTCTCTGCACATGCGTGCTATGTCATAGTCTATGAGCAAGAAAAAGGCTCTCTATAAATATGCCAGGCTGGTTTAGATTTCACGTCCAGGGTGGGGCAGTGGGCCACTGCTGTTGGCATTTCTATTGCTCATCTGCTGCCTTAGTATTATTATTTGGACAACATTCCCTGCATCAAGCTTCTGTCTTGCACTCAAGATACTGCGATTCATAAGTAGCCTTCATGGTTATACGTGTGAACAAAAAGTGTTCACATACATGTGTGAAAGAAGCAGAAATGTCTTATGCTCACCAACAGTGATTCTCTAAAAATAAAACAAACACACTGCCATTGCCTAGCAACCACCCACCCTGCAGTGCAAACATTCAGGCAAAGCTTCATTCAACTACATCCCCCTCTCTGGCTCTCTAATACACATTCAGCTGCCTGGTAAAGTGAGGAAAGGAGAGTTGCATCATCCATCCATTAAAGCAGACACAGCCGCAGCCAGGCCCTGAAGGGAGACATACAGACAGCAACAATACATGCAGATACTAGGAGACTAGATCGGGTGACAATACAACTGACTACAGACGACTGGCAAACACTCAGGAGTCTCATCAGCCTGCTGATAGGGGAAGGAATAAAACAAGTATTACTACAGTGATACCAGGAACAACACAATCCCCTCAAAGCCGCTGTCACTTCTGGTGTTTCCACATGTCAAAAGCAACACCTGATGACAAGAGGCACATCTGCCATAAACCACTGAAGAAAAAAGGTTTAGATCACCTATTACAAATGTGTAGAGCCCACTCGAGACACTGCTGCGACAGGTTTTCAAAACAAAAGTAAGTAGTACAAGAAACCATGGAAAGTACTTCTAAATAAGTCATTTACATTTAATTGAAGGACACGGTATACAAGTACTAGACTCTAGTGTAGTCCCTGCTCCAGAGGTAGATCTGATTGCTGTGCATAGCTTTATACTGGTTGGTGGGCTGGCTGCAATTTATTTGACTTTGAATTGTTACATAAACATAAAAAAGTCAACAAGCCATCAAGGAATTGCAGGCAATTTTATTTATTTTATGCAACAGACAAAGGCTGCTAACACTTTTTATATACCAGCTGACTAATCTGCATGATACCCCTCAGAATTTCACTGGAGCAGAAATGCAGGTTGCATAAAAATATTGCAAATGTGTTACAAAATTCCTTACAATGAGCAATATATTGCAAAAGAAAAATTAGTTTCCAAAAAATAATGACAGTAATAATGAAGTTCCTCTTAGCTCTGGCTTGTTTACTGTTTATTTACATGTGACAGCTGTAGTTAGCGATGACTGCAGAAAAATGTGACATGTGACAATGAGTGAGGACAGCAGAGAATACTACAGCAGAGAATACTACGGATCACATTTCACCACCGCATTTGGAGAAGATTGTGGAACGGAACAGCTCTGTTCAACTGTTATGACGCGCTCATTCTTGAAATAAGGACTTTTAAGCAGACAAGCCCGAGTTGGGGCACAGCCTATGTTGTGTAATTGGTCTCCTGGGTAACCAATGTTGATTAAATACGAAACCACAACTTCCTATTTCAGCTCTTCTTACACATTAAAATATATGTCTTACATTTTTTGTACCTCATTTTTCATCTTTAACGCTGACCATGTTCATATTTTAATAAATCTGTCTATTAATTGACAACGTAAGACAAAAGTACATGTACAGCACTTCAACATAGTACAGTAACTCCTCTTGTCATTTATGTTCTCTATTGTGATGCTACTATTGTTGTCCATGCCTTTCCAACAATGTGACTCATTTGCATAACTTTTTCATGACAGTGGGTAAAGTCAAAACAGACTGTACCTCTCTAATAACTATTTAAATATCTATAATACTGCATATATTTCCCTGAAACCACTGAAAAAAGGGAATCATTTTATATACAAACAAGCCTGAAGCTGCATCCTGAATAATTTTGTTGTTGTTATGCTGCAATGAATATTATAATAAAGAAGGGATGACCAAACTGAAAACCAGGTTTGTCTTAGACACGTGTGAGGAGTCTCCTGTGATAAGTCTAGTGCTTTTGGAGAACTCAAACAGTTAGCTGCAGATTATATGACTGATGTTCTAGGCAGACAGACGGTGCAAGTAATGTAAAATTAGTGAAGCCATTTTTATATAATATTAACTTATGTGGAGGTCTGTTCTGAGCAAAAGCAGAAATAACTGACAGCATATATGCAGCTAAACAGGGCACTGCTTCTTTAATATTAAGAAGTATTTTGTAAATCACAATGCACAATTTTGTAGATTTTAAATAGGCCAGTAGGGTCCAGGATCTTGACCATGGAGCTTTGCACATTTTCCACCCCTGCATCTAGGTTTTCCTCAAGCACTCTGGTTTCCTTCACAGGTGCCCCCAGTCACCACGTTGGTGACCCCTGCTCTAAATTGACCATGGGTACGAGTCTGTGAGTGAAAGGTTGTTTGCCTCTATATGTGGTCTATCTGTGATGGATTGATGAATTGTCCAGGGTGGCCTCATCCCTTAACGACACTCAATAAAAGGAAGCTGTTGAAGATGAATGAATGAAAACCTCTATAATAAGCCTGATCCTTTTTTTAGCGTGACGCCAACAGTGTTTCATCTGCAGCTCAGTCTTCACACATCACTTGCTCACTCTGATAAGATTAGCACCTATTGAACCCCTCCCTTGTCTGACTAACAACACTTGATGCCATATAATAGTTACTGTGCACCTAATCATAATCTGATACAAGTGAGCAAGTCAGCAGACAAACCTGATTCAGAAAATACATAGAAATATTAAAAAGGTGAAATTTCCAAATGTTTTTTGAAATGTCTTTAGAAACAAAAAGACAAAAAGTCTTAGATAAAAAAAGAGTCAACAGTGTTTGTGCTGCCATGGTCAGCATAATTACAATAAATTGCAGCACTATTACAAAAGGCACTGACATGGAAGTTCTTATACTGTACAAGCTGTGCATTATGTTTCAAGAGTTAGGCAATTCACTGACATTAACAACATTGGGTTGTCTTTTTCACAAAAACGGTCACACAAAGTCCTCAGTCCAGCATTTGAATTGTGTGATATTATCAGTTAAGGCCTCTGACGACACTTCTGGCTCAACGTGCAGACAACATCTTGTCATTAAGATGACAATAGCAAAATATTCCTGAACCTGAAATACATGGTTTGTCAGATGTTAAAGTGCAGCTGTCTGGAACAACGGTTTGTTTAGAAGCAAACCAATGTCACCTTTAGAGCAAAGGTCCAAACTTTTTTAAACTGTGGCAAAAATACTTTACCTAGGGTTCAATTTCACTAGGCTAGCCTTTGTTGAATCATTACATCAAATGGTCCATGGAATACTAAAATCATTTTGTGATGGAGTATGGAACTAACAAGCAAAAAATGCAAAAGTTCAAAAACAGTAGGTGAAGTGCGTGGCATTATACTATTGCTTTTACAACAATAAATATTAAAATTACTTAATACACCACAAGAGCATACAGTGACCTGACACCTTACACAATGTGGGAATGGTCCTGTATCTTCCAATGTTGGTCAAAAACCACTGCATATCAACACTAGAAAGAAGCTTCCCTAAGCACAGGCAACATGCTGTAAAGAGAGAAGTGCACCACCAGTATCATGTGACCATGACATGAGTGAGGGCTACAAGTGTCAGCCCCACTTGTTGAAGCATTATGTTTTTTGAAATGGCTGGTGAAAGGTGAGGGAAAGCACAGGCACAAACATAAAAAAGTTGATCAACCAAAGGAGCTCAGAGACCACACCGGACTCTATCAAAATGAGTAGATCCAAAAAGTTATTGAGCAAAAAAGTGCTGTCAAAGCATCGTTACTACCAACTTAAACACTAAACAAATCCCTCCTCAGCTTCTATTTTGATATATTTAAATGTTTAAATGATTAATATTGATTATAAATTGATTATATGCACTTACAAAGACTGCTGCATATCTTAAGTAAAGCAAGGAGTTACCAACCAAGCCCATGTTTACGATATGATCAAAAGTTGCACATTGAACACAGTCAAGGTGTACCTGGGAAGACCTGGAACAAGTTCTGTATAATAAATAATAATAAAATATAACAATGCCATACTCTTTAACGGTACAAAGCAATAGATGCTGCTGCTCCATAAATGAACAAAACCTCTACACACAAGTTTAAAAATATATAGCATCTATAGGTGTCCATTATCAGCCAGAAATATGAAGAAAAAACAGCTGTTGCATACAACATTCATGGTAATCCTACAGAGTAAACTAAATGAGTGGTTTGTGTGTGTATATACACCATGTGTAATTAGGGCTGTCACTGACAAAGACTGGCACTTACAGTTGGTTATTTATTTGAATATTTGATATTTAAGCCAATTTCACAATGGTGAAATATGACAAGAACACAAAATAGCGATTATGTATTCATTGATACTTTGTTTTTAATGGATTTGACAATTTAGCAGTTGGGCCATTGAAAACAAACCGCTGGACAAAATGTGGATCTATTTTCTCCTGCATATTAAAGTTGCCACACCCTCAGACGTTTTGTTCTTGTCCACAAAGATTGTGAACTTAATGGCAGCCTGGCGCAACAGCTATTAGCGAGAACATGTTTTAGTGCTACATAATCTAGAGATGTTTCATTTTGGCAGACAATGAAGCTGTAGAATTTTTTTTTTTTGTTGACCATCAACTAGTGACAAATACTATTGTTATCTAAATTACTGAAATGGCCATATGAAGTCAAGACACATTAGCCAATATAGATGTATTGAAGAAGTTTTTGCATTGGTTAAAAAAAACACAATAAAAATGTACATTGACAACGACAGAATGTGAATGTTGTTCTAATTCATCAAGGACTAATAATTTTAGTATTTATGGAAATGTTTGATCATTTTTGTAATCGATTTCTTACTGTAATTGTTCATAATAATGCAGTGTTGCTCTAAATAACATTATTAATTGATTTGTCATTGATTATATGAATAATTGTAGCTTTAGAGGCCACTCATGTATACATCAATTTTTCCACTCATTTTAACACTTCTGGGCTCCATGCTGAAAGGAATGGAACCTACAGTAGTGTGTGGCCGCGCGCTGGTTTAAATATAACGCCATATCGTTAGAAATAGAATGAGGCTGCCGTGCTAACCAGTGACACTCATATGACAATGTCCGCTAAGTTCTCATTAGCTAGTTATTGCTTCAGTGTATCAAGTGCCGTGCTAGATTAGCTCGCTTGGGACCAGACTAAGCACCGGAGACCAACGTGTCGCTCTGGCTCTTCGCACTGGGGTTACTTTAAATATGGTTCATTCAGAATTGGCCGGCGGTAGCACTGTTTCTTTGGAAATTCAGAGCAAGGCTCGAGTTTAATTGTGTCACTCACTCGAACGTTTATTACACGCCACTGTTTTAATGGTGCATTCGTCAACTGGCTGTTTTTGGAAACGCGTTTCTAAGTACAAAATACCGATCCACTGACCACATGCTGAACTCCTGTTAACACTCCTGCCTCCGCAGGAAAGGCCCGTGTTAGCTGCCATGCTAACGTTAACTGAACAGTTAGCCCCGCTTTGAGCACCAGGTTGTCAAACCGAAGCTAATGACGTTAGCGCACATACAACTGTGTTACTTACGTTTTCCTGCTTCTGTGCAAATGTAGATCCAATCTTGGTTATGTTGTGGATTCTGCCTTCTGGTAGTGATTTGTCGTTAACCTGATAATATAAGCCGCTAACGTTAGCCGACTAGCCCTGTTATGTTTCCTTATTTGATAAAAAAAAAAATAATGGAGATTGGCCTCAGATGAGCGGCGATAATTCCTTTCTCGGTGGTTCCCTGCTTGGACGGCGTTGATTTTTACGCATGTTGGACGTCAGGTCTGTCTTTCACGTTAGGCGAAGACTAATTCGGTCGCTTCTCAGCAAATGCGAACACTGAGAATTGGTTATATTAGACAACACTGACAAATCTCGCACTTTCTTCCATTGAAAGGCCAGAGCTATCCTTCGACTTTGGGTGCTGAACAAGAGGAGGTGTTATTTTTGGCACATGCTCGCCGATTGGCTGCAGCGTCCAGACTACATGTCGCTTAGTTGGCTGTATCATTTGTCAATTAGCTCTGCCCCTGTCCTCAACTGCACTCCGATTGGTTTGGTACGATACTTCGATGATGCGCTCACTCTGCTGGGTGCACTTGTTTTTAAACCAAAGCACACAGAGCCCACTTTACGTAGGCGGAGTTAACCGTAAAATAAAAACATTTAACACCACAACGGTGTTAAATCTTAAAACAACAACCAACTAAATATTCATTTAGCCAAACCATTTGATATAGCCATTTCTGATTCGTACCCTCGATATCTTTTAAAGTCACGACACATAGTTACCGGGCTGACTGCCCGGAGGTATACAACAAGCGCAACCTTACTCAAGCGAGTTTAAATGAACTAGGGGGCACTGCTGCTAGTTACTTTTCATTGGTGGACCACATCTGCGTTTGATATTGAAAACAATAACAAAAATCCAGATACATTAGAGAAAGTAGTTTTCGTTTATCACATAGTAAATACCAATGTTATAATTAGCATTTAATAATTAAAAATAAAAAAGAAATAAAGAAAATACCTTAAGGGTAATTTCTTTTTAAAAAGTCAATTTTATTTGCACAGCCCAAATTCGCCAAACACGTTTTCTCTCAATTTACTCTATCAGTCCAAAACTATTGAATGGGGAAAAAAGAGGGGGGGAGGGGTTGGAAATAAAGCTGGTGCTAAATAAAAGTAGACACCACATGTGATTGACAGCTGCTATGTCAAGTGGATAAACTTTGCCGTTGTCATTGACATTTGCTTAACAGGGAGTTCTCCACTGACTTGGGCTTTCCAATGTATACAGATAAACAAATACCTGGGCTGGAGTTGCAGGTTTACAAAAACAATGATATAAAAACCTGTGAAATATTTTAACAGCTCCAGGACCCCTGTTTTACAAATTAGGTATGATTACAAATGTTATAATAATCTAACCACAACAGCACACCACAGCACACAGTTCACGATCCTGGTAGTTTTTGGAGAGAGTGAGTTTAAATATGGTGTAATATTGTTTTAAAAATAAATTAATAAAAATGTAATTCTTGTAAAATATATTTCAACAGAGGTCAAAAGGCCAGTGTTAAAAATCAGTAATGTTCTATTGTGTTTTAAACATGTTTTCTGTCACAACCACTGCCTTGTCTTTCTGCTGCCAGGGCATGCTTTATTACTGCTTCATGGTAGCAATATTGTTAATCATTGTACTCAAACCATATGGTGCTTTCAAATAACCATAATCTTTATTACTCCTTCATCACATTTGTAACTCCTTTTCTAGTCTTCAGAATACAAAGAAGAGCAGCAATAGCTACCTACTGTACAGCATAAACACTGACTGATACAGTACCTCACCGCAGACACCTGAGACTCTGACTGCACCGAACCAAAGAAATTATAGTGTGTTATCTCTTCACTGATTGTGTCTATAGAAATGCATTCAATGTGGGTAATTATTACTCCCACTCTCCTCTATACTATCTGTGAAGCGGCTCGTACATTCGCTACTTTGCTCAAGGATGTGGCCTTGAGTGGAACAGTAATTTCAGTGAAGAATTGGTCATCAGGAAAGACAGCAGAGAGGATTGAGACTTCATTGTGAATAAATCGATTACACACAAGCAGAAGCTGATATTAAAATCAATATTTAACTCAGAACAGTGTTGAGCCTCCTTTAAGGTCTCAGAAGCCAGCAGGGCCTAGGAGTTGTGAGGAGTGATATAATGAGAGGTGTGTGTAACTGTGTACTTTGTTTAGCTGTAATTCAGAGACATTGTTAAATACAATGCAATACAATCATCTCAACTCTAATGCCATTAATTATCTAATTAAAATAAAGGATCAAACACCTGCAGTAGCTAATGATTTTGAACTAGACAACAAAATATCTATTTTTTATATCAATATATATATATATATATATACATATATATATATATATTTTAGCCATATTGGTTTTTTACTAAGAAAAAGGGGGAAACTGTGGAGAAAGTTTGTATGCTATGATTGTGTTTTTACCAATGAAAAAAATGAGGCTGCTGTGAATCAGAACGCAGAGAGATTAGGCTTAATCTAGACATGGGTATGAAGTACATGTGTAACGATGTTTAGTTCATCATCTGTCAGCGCAGCAGTGTGTGTGCAGTGGTTAGGCTGAAAGCAGGGCTTATCCACTGTCATTTTGTGTGCCTCCCTCAGGATTACACTGGAGTCTTATAAATGAAAAACTCATCAGATATCAGAACAACTCCCGCTGGAGACAACAGGGGTTATGAGACACAGCTCAGATTGAGTGTAAAGACTGTGTGTGTCTCTCTCTGTATCTTTATTTTTTGTTGTTCAGGGTTTTCACCCTTCTGCATTACATTTTAAAAGCATTGTAAAATCTTATACAAAACTATATTTGAAATAAATTAAGCTACTCTGAAACAACAGTTAACTTTCTCCATGGTTAGATTGTACAAACATTGCTATTGTTTTGGCTAACTTTAGTCTATGTGTAGCCTATCATTACTATTTTCAACTATATTTTGGTCCCAATAAATTGGGTCCATCTCTGAATTTGATGTTGATAATTAAAAACATTGTCCCTGATTAAACAACGAATTAAGTACACTGTGTGTATGTGTGTGTGTGTGTGTGTGTGTTTGCAACAGAAGGTTGTGAGTGAGCAGAGAAGAGCTAAGAGTGGTATTTAATTTTTCAAGATAAAGGATTATCGCTGGCTGAATCTGATCATTCTGCTCTGATCTCAGGATGTTCAATCACAGCTTATCCCAAATATTAAACTCTGTGTCTTTTGTCTCCTCTTCCCTCAATCCCTCACACAACACACACGCAGGCCTTGGCCACTCCAGCAGTTGTACTCATCACTGAGCAAAGTGGTCCAAGGACCTACTTTCAGGGTGGTGTGAGTGTGATTGCTCTGCCACCTGCTCACCTCAGGGGATGGGTAAGAAGGGTGGAGGTTGGGACTTATAGGGACATTTGGGAACGTGTGTATGTGTGTGTAGCAGAAAGGTGGGCGGGGGGTGGGCAGTGGAGGTCAGATGAAGAAGGAAAATTAAAAATGGTTACATCTAATCCACAGGAAACCAAGAGCAAGTGGCATGTTCTCCCAAATCTGATCCCTCGTGTTAACATGGATCTGTTCAGGATTAAATACTGACACAACACACACACACACACACTCACACACATGCCAAGAACACATGTCCATGCCACAGCATTCTCACTCCCATGATTTACACTCTTACATCTTATGCATACAGGCACATTATGTTTGGTCCTTGGAGTTTAATACAAAGTCAAGTGTCCCATTCTGGAAGTAGGGGGGTGAAGGAGGGTGAACATGGGTGGGAAGAGGTGAAGGATGTGTGGGTGGCACTCTCATTTTACTTCCAGGAGAGCTACACCCTGGACATCTGGGTCATTTCCTCAACCTCCTGTTTGTTCTTTTCCAGCTTCACGGTGGCTTAGAGTGACAGAGCTGCACACATGCATTCAAAAGGAGCAAGCATGCACACAAACAGTCTGCTTCACATGAGCTTCATGCCTTCTCTAACCTCTCAACCATTACAAATGTATGCCTAATCTTAATTCTTACCCTATCCCAGTCCTAAACTAAATAAAATAATCACTACTTCCTATTAGAGACAAATTTCCCGGAACAAATCATTTTACAAAAAAAAAAAAGTCCACAAAAGCGCACATTTTAACATGTCAGCCCAATACTTTGGTAACGTAAAGTCGTTAGTGTGTGGTTATGCTGACCTCTAGTGGAAACATGTTTCTCTTACACCTGGTTGACAGTTGCTGCTGGTCGAGACTATGCTAAATAATAAACAAGGATAACATTTTTCATTTTATTGATTATTTAATATTTTTATGAATAAAATGTAAGTAAATGTTTTTAATTATCAATCTTTGAAATCTGAGCCTAAACTTAATACGAATTGCTAGACCTTTATCGTCATGTATTCGTAGTAAACCAAAAACAAGAAATACAATTAATCCATTGATAAATACTCACTTGAGGACTTTGCTGTCTTTTGACGATTCGCCTGTAGTCAAGACATAAAGTTCTACAATTCGTTTTTGATACCAAAATAAAACAGTGTGTCCACGTCATTTGTTTTGACATTGTCTGCGTATAAGGGGTCGTTTAATGACACAGTGCTGCGTCAAATAAAGAATGGTGTTTTTTACAATACAAAAACTCTGCTTTATATCCATAGGGACTTGAGTCAAAAACATCTGCTCCAGGTGAGGCTCGAACTCACAACCTCGGCATTGCTCTGCAGCATACTGTCATATAAGTACCGCGCGCTAACCGATTGCGCCACTGGAGCTACAGATACAACGCGCTCAAAAAATAGTTTAAGAATATACACAAACGTAGTATCTTGTCAGTTATATAACCGTATAGACGCTGCTTTGTGCAGTCTTGATAGAAACTGAAAAAGACACAATACGTACCTCCCCAACAACGACACGTGCATTTTGTTCTGCTTTAGACAGTGGTATGTTCAACAGTTTTTACAAAATATCCCAGCTTCACTAACGAATCAAAACTCATTTGGCACAGAACAACTGCAAGTTAACCACAAATAAAGTAAGTGTCGGTTAAAAATAGCGCAATATTCTCCACAAGATCGCTTTAACAGATAATGACACATTAGCAACAATGTATAGTATAGCATAAAGGACCCCAAACGTACCAAAATTATCCCTGAAGTAGCTGAATCTAGCCCGGAACAGCTGAAAATCCAGCTACGGGTACACGTGAGGCAGAAATTAGTAAAATTAGTAAAAAATAAATAAATGTGAATGTCAGCACACAAATTAAAAGGTATTTGCAATAAAAATAATATTAATAATCAATCTTCTTGTTAAATTATGTAATCATTATTATAGATTGAATAACAATGTTTTATGCTAATCAGCCTACTTACCAGTATTTTAATGTTAATTTACATATCCACTAAATAATCTGGTTAAATACAACGCATTCATATTCCACTAAGTACCTCTATGTACTATATATTCACATTATTATATGAACTAAATTATGGACTGTTATTGTATGTGTGTTATCAACATCAAGACAGGAACCCAATTTATTGTGTTTATGTGCAACACTGACCCAAGTAGAGAGTGAAAAGAAAACAGAGAAGAGAGTGAAAACCTGTGCTTCAAGTATATATTTTTTTTAGCAAAAAGGTGTGTACATAATTAGTCATGCACTTTCCAGTCCTGGTGTGACATGGGGCGTACTGTGTACAAAGGGCTGCAACAACTACACCATGAATGCCTAAACCCCTTTTTTTTCCAAATGTATGAGATTCAGTTATGGTCAAGCATTCAAGGTCAACTGTGCTTCGTATAAAGTGATACATAAATTGGGGGGTGGAGGGGTAAATGTAGCTAAGGCGGTATCAGTTAAGGAACTAGCTAAAAAATATATATCAGCTCAGACATGACTCAAAGGTAGTAAATGCTAATTTAACTATTACTGCAAGTCAGCCTGGAAACACCTTGATGTTGGCCAAATCATGCAGAAAATAAGCTAACTACAAACTAACTAGGCTTATTTTTATACAGTAAGTAAACATCTGACGTATAGTCACACTTTTAAGTTACCCTGAATTACCTTCACATGCGAGTAACATTTAGAAGGGTGGAAAAAGACCCCAATTAAAACGCACAACTTTACTCAGGAAGCAGACCCAAAAATAGCTTAGTTAGACTATGTCAACTTTAATGTAACTGTGTTTCTGATTGTCAGCCCTACAGTAGAAACCAAACATAATTATAAACACAAACACACATTCAGCAGGTGCAGCTGTTGGCTGTGTTCACATTTAGGGAGGCTGTGAAAGGAAGGTATGCTGCGAATGACAAGCCCATCTTAACAGAACAACACTGGCTCTGTCAGCAGGAGCCACAAAATGAAATGCTCTGAGGCAGCCCGTAAGCTCTGAAGAACATGATTTATATTCTCAGGGCACTTGTCATTCCTCATCACTGTGTCAAATTGCCATATTTTGATGGGGTATTTTTTTTTTCTCACCACATCCTTGCCGAGGCCGCCGTGTGTACAAGGCCCCATTTATCACACCCTCCCCCCCGAGAGCGAGACAAAGGCAGACAGAAACAGAAAGATGGAGTAGGAGGCTGAGAAACAGGGCAGGCTGTTGGAGTTTGACACCAGGAAATGACTCAGTGAGACTGGACACTGCTGTTTTTCTACATTTTTATTATGATCATCATTATTGTTCTCAGCATATTCATAATTCAACACAAGACATACGAGTAAAACACTAACATAAACATTCTGATTGAAGGAGAAGAAATCACATGACCCACTGGCCGGTGGAGGCTCTCACCTCAGAGACATGCTGGCGGCGACGGCAATGTTTGTTGAATAAACTGAAGATCTGAAGAGACACCCGATGGGCGAATGGGTTCACAAGCAACGTTCTGAGGTAATGCTGACATGGATCAAGGAGAATGGGAAGAAGAAAATAAAAAGAGAAGTTGTGACTTGCCTGGCAGCTTAGGAGAACAAAGAAAATGATGCTGTCAGTAAATATCCACAACTACCGCTGGGTTTTAGCCTCAAAGTCTGGCTTGACCATCTCAGCTCAAAGTGAACTATGACTGATTCATGCCTTTTTTTCTGCAGGGGAAGTGCTTCAGTATTCAAGTCAGGGCTGTGTCAGCAGTCTATAGAAATAGGATGAGTAGATTTACAGTCCTGTAATGAGATATACAAGGTTTGATGAAGACAAAAGTGTTTCTTTGCTTTAACCAGCTCCTAAACCTGTGGATTTGTCATGAATAGGTGACAGCTTTGTACAAGGTCGGCTGTGGCTCTTCAACACCAGCTTCAGCCCTCTGATTCAGTCATCAAGGTGAGCGCAACAAAAAAGAAACTGCAGGTGGATTTACAGCAGCCGTTTTCTTCACAGGCTGCTGGTTCAGTGCATTAGATTTTTTTTAATGTCAGCATCAGACATTTTCCTCCAAAAGTTCAAGAAGACCACCTAAAAAACTGAAAACCAACCCTCGGTCCCTTATCCCACCCAATCAAAACATATTCTAATCCCTCATGCCTCGACGTAAAGTAACTTTGTACAAACTGAAAAAAACACAACATTTCACCATCAACACAAAGATCACGTCATTATATCTGTCTGTAAAAGCCAACAACAGGACAGAAACTCCCCTGTGTTTAAACCTGTTCATTACACTATCATACAAAACACACACACTCACACACACGCACATACGCACGCACGCTTCCAGAGGATTTCATCCATTTCAGGTGTTTGTGTCTATTGCAGTACAAATCATCATCTGTAGTAGTTACTGAGGATTGTAGATTGTTATTGAGGACCATAAAGAAAACGTTGTATGAGGTGAGAATTGTTAGTGTGTGCAGGGCGTGGAGTTGGCTGCGTCTGCGTGCGGTCAGTCGTGGATGACGATGGGGCCTCGCATCCTCAGGCTGGGGTGAGGGTGTGGGGGTGCCAGTACGAGCCCCTGAGGAGGGCCCTGGGAGACCCTGCGTAAGGTGATCTGTTCGCAGGGCTGTCGGCAGGCGTGTCTAAGCTGAGAGCGGGACAGCAGCCGTCGAGCCCTCCTTGGGACACAAAGAAGAGAAAGAACTTAAGTGCAGAAGAACATACAACAACATTAGACCACAACAGGCTTGGCTGAGAAATTAACATTATTATACTCTGCAAGCAAATTTTCAAAATTGAAATGAAAAAAAACAAAAAACAAATAAGAAATTTTGATAGGATACACTGTTTATTGTCATTTTTTGGAATAACAAACTGAAGCAAAGTTAAATAACAGGCTGCAGATCTTTGTGGTAGTTTTGCCACAGGTTTCAGGTGAGTCTCCATCCCAGTCTTTACAGCTCCTCCAGAGTCGATGTTCTACTGGCACGGTTCCTGGTCTGTGGTTCACTCCCCATATTCAATTCAATTTTATTTTTGTCAGATTAAGGTTAGGGCTTTGTGTAGTTGACTCATTAACACTCTCTGTGGTCTTGTGGGGATAGTTATTCATCTGTTTTAAAAAAAGGAATATATATAAAAAAAACATATATTTTTGATAGGATACACTGAAGAATGTCTTTACAGTGTTTCTCTGGGTTAGTGTCCTTTGGGTTACCATCCTGTTCCTTCATTCTACAAAATAGGCTTTTGTTCTAATCATTAAAGAATTGTAAACTCTTCTCATTTGACAGAATGATGAATATCCCGCTATGTTTTCATATTTGTTCTAGGTGTTGGAAAAGAGTGATTAACACTTTTATTCCCTTTTCTGGGAGTCACAACAACAGATGTAGACATGAATTTCGCTCTCCTTGCTGCAGTAATTACTTTTATTTTATCATGGCTTGAGAATAAATGCTGTATCTTAATTACAATCCCAATTCCAGTCTATTAAATCACAGTTTAATATGCAACAGCTAACTGTTTACGTCATGGTTTTCAGATTTCAATAACCTACCTGCAGGGGCTGAGGATCATTTAAACAGCCAACTGGGTTTTAAAGTGTAAAATAAAATGACTACTGAAGAGGTCTGAGGCTGAAATTGGATTTATATTTTTATACCTTCATGAGTCATTCAGTCATAGTGTTGATTTTGAAGCAATAACACCTCCAGATGTGGGGTCACCTGTATGACCTCACCTCTGCTACTTGCTGCCTCTGAGGCACATAACGGAGAAACTAATAAAGACAGCAGTGATCTTCACTTGATCCGAGTGATTAAGTGTGCGCCTGTTTCTTAAAGGACACCGTATTGAGGCTGCAGTCCACTGAAAAAGCCATTTGAAACAAGCACTTTTTCTCATTTCCAAAGGATTCTGTAGTCCTGGTGGTGCAGCAGGCGCCGAGCATGAGTATCTTCCTCTGTTATGAACTGAGGAATCCCGTCTCAGTAGGATTTTCAGGCTTAGAAGTGAGCTGACTAGTGAGAAGATTGCTCTTTTAGAAACTAAGCCAAGGCTGCAGACCCAACTGGAATCCATTTGGAGACAATTGTTAAGATAAACATTGAAATGTATACAGGATTATTCCTTGTCCCCTTTGGGGCCGCCATTAAAAACCACGTCCTCCAGATGGGCTCTTATTTTTCCTGCACCAGTCAGTGCTCTTGCTAAAGCGAAGAAAGTTGGTTCTTGCATTGTAGAGAGAAAAACACATTAAACAAGACCAGGATTACTCATGGAGACATATGTACATTACGTGTGTGACAGTGCATGAGAGCACTCTTTACGCTGAACCAATAAAAAAAAACCTAGAGTGACACGCACACACCACTGGACTCCCTACAGCGATGGTTTGTTTAGTTTCCTATTATACTCTAGAGAACGCTATATATAAATGCAATTCCTATTATTTACACATTATTTCCAACTAGGCTGTCATTAAACAGAAAGACAACATTATCTGGTAGAGTAACATTTGAAGAAGGAAGGGAGAGGCATGAAACACAAAGAACAAAATCCCCACATAGAAACTAATGGCTGTCTAAAGGATTGAACCAAAGAATTGCAAAAAAATAAGGATACAAAAATACCAAAAACGCCGACTTCCTGTTGGGTTCAGGAGAAGAGTCTTTCCGGGGTGGGGGGAGGGTGAGGGGTGACTTTTGTGAGTGTAGAATTAAAAACGGTCATTGTTTATCATTGTTTCTCGGTCTGAACCATGGGTTTTTCCGCACATGTTTAAGCCCCCAAAATGCAATTGTTTTGGAAAAAGAAGAATCCTACATGCTTTGCAGAGACTCCTGTTCTTTTCTCAGTTGGTGATTCCTTATCTGTGGTGAAGATAGAAGAAGCAGCGTTTCACTGACATGACCCACACACCCAGCCCTGATTGTTCATGAGAGGATGACAGACCTGCAGTGACCCGGATGGGTCGAATCACTCCAGCACTCCAAATCTCTCACTCTCATGTCACAGCCACGTCAAAAATGTTGAATGATGAAAGTTGACAGAAGATTTAAGGGGGGAGGGGAATCATCTGGTGGCCCATGCACATACATTGGTTTCTACACATGCTACTACTGAGGCTAACACACTACAGATTTGGTCCTTCAACCGACGGCATTGCTTTGCTGTTTTCAGAGGAGAAGAGCGGATTTAGCCGTGTGGCTCATCATGTCTGTTCAGTTGGCCCTCAGTAAGGAGAAGAGCAAACACACCAGCCACTCTCATTTACATCTCTGTTTGCTTTATGTATGCAGATTTGTACAGCAGACCCTCTCTAGTTTATACACCGGTGAATTTAAACCAGTAAAACACTGTGGACTACTCTGTAGTAATAAGAAGCAGAGAAGAAGAGTCCAGGCTTAAAAAACCTGATTTACCAGCACAGTGAGTCGAGGAGTAACAGTATTCATCAAATAGAACAGTGTCTATTATTGAAAATACACACGCATTAGGGCTTCATATCACTTTATAGTGTCAGTGCTTTCTCTTAGCTCTACTTTACAATTAAAGCGACACTAAATAATTTCAAGTGTTATAATGTACTCACTGCTGGGAGAGAAAATAAATGACTCTCTACTGCTCTGACAAAGTGGATTATCCCGGAGGATTCTGGCTCTGTCGTCCTCGTGCTTGGTTCATTGAAAACCTTTTATATTTAATATCTTCCCCACACACATAATATAATATAATATAATATAATATAACATAACATAACATAACATAATATAATATAATATAATAATAAAAAATAAAAACAAATAATATATATATATATATATATATAAACTATAATAAATCACATTGATTGGTCAATTCAAAACGTTTGTCAATGACTTTGGTACAAAGTAAACAGTCAGATGAATGAGAACAACAGCTTTTGGGGTGAAGCAGAAATCAATTGTACTTTTGTGTGAGTGAATGCAGCCAGACTATTATCAGCTTCAATTATGTAACAACATAACTGTGTAAATAATTGGCCATCTCACCTAGTTTATCATGCAGCCACAGAGTGTACTAAATATATATCCACTGCATAATTGTTGTTTTTTTTTACCTCTCTCCAGGATCCCCTGTGTCTAAGTCTGGCAATCAACACTAAAGTTTCTCACAAACATTCGTCTCCCAGTGGAAGAACAGTGATAATTTGTTGATTTGTTGTTGATCCCTCTCTTGTGCGTGTGTGTTTTTCGCATCTTATTTTAAACCGAATTAACAATTTGTGCTGGGTTTTTTCCTACTCTGTGCAGGCCAAGAAAATTGTTTTATTTTATTTATTTCTTTTTCTTTTTTGTCTCCGGTGCACAGCCTCCTTGTACATGTGGGAGAGTTCTCCTACTCCTTTTCTCTACATCACATAACAGAGTGTTGTGAATGTGAGGAAAAGAAAAGAAAACCTCATATCTTCTCTCATTTCAGAGCAAAGCAGATCTATTAATGTGTATTTGTTAAGAAAATCAATAATTGTCGTCACTGAGGGAGGGAATGTACTGTGTTCTAGAACGACGAGCTCTCTGTCTCTCACTTTCTCTCTCACCCTTGTTCACTTGCACAAACACTTAGAGCCGTGCTTCCTTGGTGGTGAGTGAGCGATCCATGTGAGTGCAGCCATGTTTAATGTGGTAATGATATTTCCACTCAGAACCCAGCGGTGGCTGGCTCCTCGCTGGACCATCTGCACCCGCTTTAGTCGCTTTAATTTGAGTCCCGGCGGTGTGAGCGCGGCTGTGAGGCCTGGGTGCCATGGCTCATTTAGACACAGTCTTAATGGAAGATCATCTTTCGTGCTCACACACACACACACACACACGCACACACACACACACACACACACACACACACACACACACAAACACACAGCCCATCTCTGACTCATCGTGTATATAAGGTGTTTCTATGGCATCATGTTTCACAAGCCTCAACTGTAGAGCATAATTTCAATAAGTATGAGAAGTATTCCCTTTTATATTATATCCTTTCAATAATATGCAAAAATGTGCAAATATTTTTCACAGTCCGAAGCCCAGTAGGATATGAAGGTCTGGAATAACTTATCTTTTATTAACAAAGGGGCATTTTATTTGCCATGAATTTCCCAGCCAAGTTATCTTGTTATTTTCTTATCAGAAAGTTGCATCAATAGCAGTTTCAGGTTTTCATGCACGGTTGTTATCAGATTCTAACCCCATCCACTCCACTACAGTTTCTCTAACACATTCCACACATACATGCCCACAGTCAGCCAATAAAAGTTCAAAAAGGGTCACCTTCTCTTACCTGGTCTCTCGAGTGACGAGGAAGAAGCTGTCATCAGGGGCATCAATCCAGTTGGGGCGCCTCTTACGGATCATCATTCCACCCCTGGTGTTTCCACCGGTGCTGTTGCGGCCATTGTGCTGCAAAAAACAACTCATTGTTCATTTGTTAGAATAAACGGTAAAATAATGATTTGGTACAAATGGATTTAGACTGACACGTACCAGGAGGGGTCCCCCTGTGGACACTGGGTTTTCTGCAAAAAAAAGAAAAGGCCATGATAAATGATAAGAAACAACAAAACCATCCAGACAGACTGCAGCTAATTTAACCTATTAAAATAAAACATGCCTGGACTTTGTCTACCTGAGCGTCTGTCAGGCTCAGTCCTGCTGTGGTGATGGTAGCTGCGTTTTCCCAGCATGCCATGGGGGCCATGTGGCAGAGAAGAGAGGAGGCGCCGTGGGGGAGGCGTCTGGAGGCCAGGGGTGCGGTAAGAACGAGGGGTATGGGCTGCTGGCCGAGACTCTGAAAGAGACGCCACACTGGAGCTGCATCAACAGGCTCTCATGGACTGACAAGGTATTTAAAGTACAGTTGAATTTTTTGGCTCAGCTATGAAGCAGGAATTTACCTAAAAACTGCAGGACACTGGTCAGAGTGCTCCTCTGGGCAGCTCTGGTTTTGGGTAGGCGAGTCCCCTGCCCCTCTGAGACCCTTAACATGTCTAAACACAAACACACATATATACATACACCCTCATTTACAAACCAGCGGTGTTTCTCAGACTTCATCAACTCTCACTCCAACTCTCCTCACAGCAGCAGGCAATCAAAACAAACTCAGAGTGGAGCGAACACTGTATCAAAATCAGAGGATGTTTGGAACACAAGGATGAATGGCTGCCTAAATAACTGTGTTCAACATGAATGTTGATGCTCCAATCAGTGTGAGCAAATGACTCGAGCAATAAGTGAAAAAAACAGATTGGCTTTCGATGATTGCATGAGCACATAAAAATGCTCTCCCACATGCACATACAGCCATGCACACACAGACACACACTGTACGTCCATTAGAATCTGAAGGAATTATTACAGCAGGCGCTGGATGAATAAAAGCATGCTGAGGGCAGGATGTGTGAGTGTGGTGGTGGGGTTGATGACAGATCACATGGACACATGAAGCACGAGGACTCAGGAGAGATGCTTTCAGGTGCGACTTTATTTGAAGTCTAACTCTCATGTTCACACAGTGATGAAAGAAAAGAGCAAAAAGAGGTAGAAGAGGAGAAAATTGCAGCTAATGTAGGAGATGGAGGATGAGGCGGAGACAGGAGTAGGAATGGAGCGTCTCTGAGCGGCAAAATCCTAGATGCAGGATTGACACACACAGAGGAAGCGACAGGATGAAGTCATGAGCATATCAAATGATTTGAACACATATCCCAGTGACAGGACACCGTGGTCCAGGTGATGGCTTCGTATGACCTGGTGGGTGATGTGTGGAGTTGGTGGAAGGTGAAGGTAAAGGTGAAGGTAATGCTTGAAAAAAAAACTAAGAGCTTTTGTATTTCCCTCCATCAGAGGTTCATCCCTGTTTTAAATCTCATGAGTTTAAATCTGATTATCAATCTGTGTAACTTTCCTCAAACGCTCTTAAAAAGAAACACGACTGAAAGAACAAGGCAAAAATTATAAATTAAAAAAAATGATCAAAAAAGGTCATGGTAAACAGAGTGAAGCTATTTACATGAAATATTTGTATCATTCAGTCACGACAGCCCAGATCGGGCACACCTTCACCTGGAGCGCTGTGCAAAATAGAGGCTCTCTTACTAAAATACATTTCTCTACAACTAACTTCAGCAAATATACGGCTCAGACTGGATTACTGCACCTTTAAGACCACTACTGACAGGAGCAAAGTCAACCAGAAGCATTGGTGTTATTAGGTGTACATGTTACTGTTGTGTATGTGTGTGTGTGTGTGTGTGTGTTGGGGAGAGACAGTGGATTTCAGTTCACAGTGAATATGATAATGTCAAAGGTAAAATAATAAAAAAACAAAACAAATCCATGAATGAAAAGATGACTTAACTCAAAGTTATGATGACAGACAGTCTTTATTGGAAAATGGGGAGTGGGAGAATACAAAAAAAACCAAATAATAATATAACAATAATAATAAAAACAAGAGGGAAGACCAACAGTCAAAGGAGGGAGGAGACAGGGCTGAAATGGGATTTGATGGTGGGGCAGTCAGGGGAGGATGAGGTGATGACTGTGTGTGTGTGTGTGTGTGTGTGTGTCTGTGTGTCAGAAATTATGAGGAACTAGGAGAATTGAGCGCACTCTTACACTCTGCCTTTAGGGACCCACAGTTAATGGGAACAAAGGGCCGGCGCGCAGCACGGCGCAGCTTGATCATGTCACGGCAAATGATACGGGCCATCTTGGTGAGACGGTTGGCCTGCAGGAGGAAGGCCTGCTTAGTCTTCATGGAGGACTTCGGGCTGCCGCTGTTTCGCATCGGCACCATGTGGTTGGACTGACGTGGAGCGTGACCTCGAGGACGAGGCTCCTGAGATGGAGGGAGAAAAGAAAGACGAGAAAGAGAGACGGGAAGAGTGAACACAGGTATTCTGGTAACCAGATAGGCTCATCAACAATTTATCTATGCAACTTCTGTCTTATTTTTAATTCTTCATTTGCTTTGAATTATGCTAAGATCAATGACCTCGTATTATTTATTTCACTCATCTAAATCTTTTGTTTTTTCAAGTCTAATTTTGAATGTTTGCGCAAACAGTCTCATACAACGCACACCCTTGCTGGGCCAAATGAAATGAAAAATGCTCAGCGTACACTGGTTATGGGAGTGGGGGAGGTCCTCTCCTCTGGACCCTCTGCTCGGCTTGGCATCTTCAGGCCGCCGTACTTTTTCCAGTACATCCAGCAGGAAACGCACAGGCGACACTGCATGTTGGGAGGACCCCATGAGTACCACTGGGCCGACTGCATGGCTGTGAAAGGACAGATTTGATCATTGTCTTAGTTGGGTCAAAGAAGGGTCGTTCAATAAATGCCAAGAATTAATTCACCAAATATTTGTTTAGTTCTTTTATGTGTTTTTTAACAACTAATCACTAGTAACAATCAGACTTACTGTAGCAGCTCTCGCAGGCTCTACCGCCTCCCGCTGTGTGATAGGGCCCGGTGCCTGCGCCATTCACCGTTGCCACCTTGCCATTGGTCACTGAGATCTGGTTAGGGTTGGGTTTGTTACTGTCAAATAATACACAAAAGGGTAAAAATTAATTATCAAACACATTAAAAAATGCATTTGTAAGCACAGCCTGACGATGAACGGTGGATACTCACTACGTGGGGATATAAACCTGCTTCAGTTTGCTCTCCGCCTCTGCTGCCTTGAGTCGCTTCTGTCCAATGTTAACAAAAGAAAGCTTTTGTCAGTCGAAAAACATTAATAAGAAATGGAGACCGAAATATAAAACATAACATCCATACAAATGTCATTTTCAACTGAACTGTGAAACTTCACTTGCCATGTCATCATGTTTACTTAAAAAATACCATATTTAGTGTGGAATTTATTATTATTATTCTTGCAGTCAGAAATAACCACATCTGGTCAGCTATCCATTTCAACAAAGATTAAGTAACTTCAGTGTTAAACAACATGATATTCATCTTACCTGTTGCACATATCTGTCTGTGGTCTTCCACATGTAGTAGTATTCTATGATACTGGTCAGGGACTTCCATGGCAGCTTCACCAGGAGAAGATGTTTAGAGGTCGGAGGAGGGTGGATGTGGAGACAGAGAGTAAATTATTTTAATATTATTATTTCACGTTCTTGGCATCTCTGCACAAAAGGCTTGGAAATATATTCACAGGTGAGAGGGACATTGTGACCACAGACACTAAAAAGCCTGTAGCTACGGGGTCTGCTAACAGTAGTTGTTCTAAGTATCACGAGCACCTGGCACCACTTCTGCTCCCTTTTACAGCAGTGAGGGGAAGTTCAACTGGTAAAAGTTTTTTCTCCGCAGGCCTGTAAGGTGGTTGCTAAAATTGGAAACTTTGTCCCTAACAGAGCAGTGGCTGAGGTCAGCTTGTGTTCCTGCCAATTACAGTGGATTTCCATTGTGAGAGGTTTGTGCTGGGGGAAGGACTGGTCACAAAAACACATCCAAACACTGAGGATCCATTTGTGATGTTCAAAGAAGATTGGTCTGAAATGATTGGCTAGAATACGATGAACCATGCATTTCATTTCTGACAAGCAGCGATTTGAGAACATTTCAGTTGCTGATAAAATACACTTGTTGACCATGAATAAATTCACACCAAATGTGGGGTTTTCCCCCCCAACAGTTGTTACCAACTGTGTAAGGTTGAAGTCAGGCTGATGGGGTTTCACTGCCTTTCTGCAGCTTCATTATTGATTTTAATTTTACGCAAATCTGGTCTGTGGGACACATTGGCTCTGTGCTTTCCCTTTCTCTGACCTAAAACAGAAGTAATTATTCTACCTGCAAATTAAATTCACTGAGAGTGAATGATTGTAAAAAAATATCTTTTTGTTTCCCAGACTTTTCAGTTTCATCTGAAAACATTACGAAACATATTAAAACATAATTATATATCAGTTGCAATGATCTGTTGCTATGACATTCTGTTGAACAAATGCTAAAAGCTTCTCCATTGTTTGGTCACAAAAAACACAAACCCATTTCAGGGTTATAGTTTGGAGAGTCTATTACTTCTTTCTGGTGAATTTTTAGCAAATGACAATTAAGGTATTTTTCCTCCAGAATAATGTGAACTAAGTGCATTAGTCATTATGTAGCTACGGTGAATACAAGGGGGACCACTGTGTACAACACACAAAATAAAGCACTCATTTCACAAATCAACACAAAAACTTACAAAGTCTTGTCGAATGTCGTTGAAGTCTTTTCCATATTTCTCTAATGCCTCTTCAAACATGGCGGCTTCTGAGGCACTCCACTCCTCCATCTCGTCCCTGCAGAGCACTGGGCCTCCTGCTGGGACCAGCACGCTCAGCGCACTGGACAGATCGTAATTATGGCGATGCAGCGTGTCCATCGCGTGGAACTGCAACCCCAAGGCAGAATGCATTACCAAAAAAGCACCTGGTTGCTATCAGAATCTTTGTGTAAATGTAGTTTTATTGCACAGTTGATACTAGATTAATGTATGAAGACTTGACCAACAGCAATACACGCAGGTCAGATAACATCATCGCACACATAGTCAAGGGGTGGGGTGGGGGGGTTGACAACAGCCCAATCTAAAAATAGGCACACTGTAGAAAAAGTTTGAGAAGCATTAATCTAGGTACACATGAGGTCACTGCTCCGAGGTCACTGTTCCAAGGTCAGTGTCTGAGTGACCACTTCAACCATCCTCACTTTTGCTGAGCTCAGGGATTAATGTGATGTTTCTAGAGAATGGGACATCAGAACTGCAACATAGATAATTTCTCAGAGTCAACCGTGTGTCACTGTGTTTTTGGTCACTTACTAACAAAGGTAATAGATATTAGTAAGAGTGGGCAGTGACAGATCTGACTTGTTTTAGAAAAAAAAAATCAAAACAGTCAAATCTGAAAGACGTAAATCAGAATCACACTATTTTGATAGTTACACACTTACTATTTACTGTAATTAAATAATTTCAAAACACAATGTTGCTGCACTGACACATCGCAGAGCAGCTTCACAAGTCAGGGAGGTTTTCTGCCATACATAAAGTCGTACTGGTGTACATGTCCACACACTTGTTTGTACAGAACTCACCAGTGTGATGTCTCGCGAGGCTGCAGCAGCGCTCATGTGTAAGCTAGGCTGTCTGACCGAACTGCTGCAGTCCAGCGCTCGGGCAAAGGTCCCCACCGCCCTGAAAAAGGGGCATCAACTCAGTCAATACATATGACATATCACTATTAATAGATTAAATGAACTATGAACACGAAGATTCACAATCAGTAGACATCAAATTAACACATTTTCAAAAACTTTAAATACATTAAATACAAATCCAATCATATATAAAGAAATATAAATATATATATATATATATATACATATATGCATATACTGCACATACAGGGAAAAACACAAAATATACACAAAAACATGTGTCACATATTTTAGTTACATTTGTTCTGTAATCCATTTTCAGAACACAAATGGGAACGTATTATTCATTAGTCAGTTTCCTCTATATTTGCCCTTTACCAGGACACTGGTAGAGTTGGAGGTGAGAGGTAAATTACCGTGCTACTACTAGGAATTGGTCTATCTGTTTGTTGGTGAGTGGACACTCTGGATCCCAAAGCTTCTCTTCTAGCTTGGACAGGTCCCTGTCATCTGCCTCTCCTACTGGAAAGACAAAGATAAAGGCTTTTAGGCAGCACCACATCATCATCATCATCATCATCATCACCACATGTTTCTAAAAAAAACAATTTATAATCCTGATTCTCTGTGACAAGTTCATTTGCTGACTTGGCAGTAACAACAGTGAATTCACTTGCTGTTTAAAGGAAATCAATGAGCAGTAGCAGACTAGATATCATCATGTTGTAAGTGTAATCTGATGAATCTGCTTATCTCAGTGAACAGATGCAGTGAATCAACCTACAAGTCTGTCCATCAAGTAAACAGCTTGTAAAAACTGGGTAGACTAATAATGCATGTAGATAATTATATCTGATGGCCACTTTATTAGGTACACACTCTGACACCAGTTTTAGTACACCGAGTCCTTGTTGTATTAATTTCTAAATCTAACTTCAAAACAATGCTCAGATATTTGTCCATATCAACATGATGGCACCAAAACAGTTGCTGCAAATCATTGATGTTTTTTTTACTATGGAGACTGGCATGGTTACCTATTGCTATGTGAAAAACTCAATTTAAACCATATTCAATTTCATTTTGCTTAATCTGAACGCAGATCACATCGGTCACATCTGCAACCCTAAATGCATTGCTGCCATATTATTGGCAAGGTAGATTTTCTCATAAACAAGCCTTTAAACAGGTGGAATAATAATGCAGCCTGTGAGCGTAGATGTTTGCAGTAGGGAAGAAGAACTCCTTATGCCCCCCCACTGAAGAAGCAAAGTGTTCAATTATGAAAGAGTGCATAAGACTTGGGGCAATAAAATTCATTGGTCACGTCAAGTGTGGCCACTTAAGACTAAAGAGGCTTTATCGATTTCCATCAGTGCAAACAGCAAAACAAGGAGGAATTGTCTCCATTATCAGGCGAAAGTCTGAATATTTTTTTGTTGAGCAGCTGCTATTCTCCGCTGTTAACAATGGTTACAATTACAACAACGCCAACACGCCTTCTAAAAACACAATTTAGAAGGCGTCATTTCAAATAATCAATTGTTCCAACTGACCCTCTTGTAACATTTCAGGTACATCTGCCTGAAAACGCGGCCCGACTCGAATCTCTCCTTTGTCTGCCAGCAGGGTTTTCTGTGTGGGGTCGTACACCAGGGAGTAGAAGAAGGTGTCCTGGGGAAAACAGCAGAACAATTACTAACACAAAGAACAGGCCTCATGGTTGTTGTTGTGGCTTCAGGGTATTCCCGCTGACTCCTCCTTCAATGGCAGACAATTTATTAGCATTTCAGGTCTAAAAACCTGGGCTTTGAAAAACATCCTTACAATAAAGTTGAAAAAATAAAAATAAATTTCAACTAAAAAAAATCTGTTTTCCATTTGTGTCAGAAAAATCAACTAGTTTGATGCTAGAAAAAAACGTTTGATATTGATAAGCCATGAGCTTATATCAAGAACTCAGAGGGTCAGATTTGTTTGGCTTTATTAGATTTCATTGATTATGATACATATTTAATTAGCGTGAAGCTAAATAAATAGTGGATTTGAGTTAAGTAGTGTTTTTTTCCTCTTTTTGTCTCACCTCTTTGTCGAGGTACGACAGAACAGCTTCAGTCTCATTTAGTAACGCAACGCTGCATTTCCCCCTGATAAAGATAAAAGGGCAGTGATCAGCAGATGACAAACGTTGCTAGTAGTTCAGGACCACCAGTTTTTACTGTAAGAAGGACAGTGTGCGTGTCCGCAGTACCTGATGTGTGTTGCAGGTAGACTCTCGTACTGCCGAGAAAGGAAGAGCTCTCTGTGGCGAAGCTGGTGTTTCTGTTTTTCTGTCAAATCTGTCTCTGCTGGGCTCTCTTTCTCTTCCTCCAGCTCCTCTATTAATGCACACACAGAAGCGCACAAAATGACTTCAGACAACAAGCTGCACAACAAATGGTGTCGCTCTTTAATGGTAGCCTTCTGTCATAGGAGGCTCAATGGAAAGAAAATAACTGAAAGGAAATATGACAAGGTTTACCTCGTGACAGAGAAATTACTGTGAGAGAGTTCCTGCCATGTTCAACAACGTGTCTCTCAGATTACGCAAAAAAATGTTATAAATGACCAGATATCATTTTGTGACCTGTTGTTAGTAATAATAATGCACGTGATCATCATTAGAAATGTTATCAACACATTATCGATTTGTTGGTGTGCAGCAGCTGAGTCAACATCATGTAGGCAGCCAATAAAAATTCAAAAAATATTTTCTTTGGGGCACATGCATATAAAAATAGGACTTTCTGCTACCCACATGATTGTTATTGCACCACATGGGTTCATTAGCCATTAGAACCGCTACAGAATTATCATCTCTTCATTAAAACCACTGCACTGATTTTACATAATAATTTGGACATTTCACTGTTCTGCGGCTCCAAAAACACTCAAACACAAAAGGGCAGAAAGAAGGCGACAGTTTCTTTAATCAAATCTGATCAAAAACTCAGGTCCAGATAGTGCTGTGACTGATGGCTGTGCAGAGAATTAAAATGTGGCTGTTACATGAATATTTCACATCTCCTCAAGTAAATAAATAAAACCAAAGTTGAGAAATGTTGTCACTTGTTAATTCAGCAGATCTGACCTGTAAATGTAAAAAAGACATGGTATTTTAACGTGCGTTAGTTTATGGCACTAGGCAATACACACTCAACAGACCAATGTTTTATCTCTTCAACAGATTCAAGGTTTTTCAAAACCATATTATTATTTTGTTCTTGTTTCTTTTTTGATGCAATAGTCAACAGTCAGTTTTATTCTTTTAATATCAAGAGCACGTGTTATAGAAAAACAAGGCTTATGCTAACTTTAGAATGAATTTCTTGCCATTTCACACTTCACTGCCAAAGTATTTTATATCAATTAAAAATGTATATATTTAACTGATTATCCTTTCAGATCTAGCACAACAACAACAACAACCCTGAGTGACAGTGACCGAGGGATAACAGTTTTGATCAAGTCCACAACCGACAGTCCCACTGGATTCATTTGAATGTTTGTTTGTTTTGTTTTTTTTAACTGTGACCTAGACTTTTAAATCTCTACAAAGCCCTGTGTGCATGTGGTGAAGGTTGATTGGTGAGAGGAGCATCTGTTTATTCTGCAGAGGTAATATTAGTTTCACATCTGTTGTTTAATCCTGGGTATAATACTTTATCAAGATGACAAACAGCTTTTGCTAGGAAGCTAGAAAACAACACCAGTAAGAACGCTGACGTCGTAAACGAATAGTACAGTGGGGCTTCAAGATACGAGCTACCTGAAATACAAGTTTTTCAAGATTTTTCCTTGTTATATGAGGAAACATCAAGTTATGAGTGCTAAGGACTCTGATCTCTGCTCCCCCACATAAAACCCCCATCCCACACTACGTTTTGGGACTTCGTAATGCCGTATTTCCATTACTTTCTGATGACACTGTTATTATTTATATTTTTTCTGATGCCAGTTTTATTTTATTTTGTTTTATGTTTTCTATTTCTTTTATTGTACTTGCCTTTTTCCCTAATCCGGATCTATTGCACCTTTTACATATGACAGAATTGTCAGAGATCACAGCACACTGTTGCCTAGTTTGTTTTAATTGTGACAGTGATCCTGCTCAGGTCCTTCTCAGGGTTAGTGGCATGCCTTCACTCGCTGTTGTCACTCAGTCTGATGCAGTGACAAGACCCTCTAATTGCATCTCTGAAGTGTTTACACAGTTTGAGCCATGATTGAAGTTTACGAAGGCGGTTACACTATTATATGCAAATCTACCTCTAACTGGAAAGTCGTGTTTTGCAATATACTGCTGCACTGTGGGGTACAAACTGTTGCAAAGTAAACAGTTAACATAAAGGGCTAACATAAAGGATAAAGTAAAACGACAGTTTTTCTAATATAGAATATTTTACAATTTGACATGGTCGGATGGTCCAAACATAAAAGTATAAATATTATTTCTATCAAAGCTATCAGCTGACATATGCCAGGGGGGCTCTACTGTGACACCTGACAACAGTTGTAATCACGTTTAATGACTTTGGGTTTCTAGAGCTATATGGTTTATTTTAGACAACATAAACAAACGAGTAAAAAATAAAAGTGGGCTTGTTTTCATGACCCATCACTCATTTGTAGCCAAAACATTTGTTTACCTATGTTTGAGGACATGTTGACTGCATTTTGACCATATGAGCTTTATAAATATGCAAGAATAAATATGAAGGCATGTGACTCACTTGCGTGCTTGTCTGCAAGCTGTATGAGGCTGTGGGAGATATCTCTCCTTCTGTAGAAACAAACCACCTTAGCTTCCACATTCCCACTAGCAGTCTGAAACAGAGAAGAAAATGAATGAGCACTCCAGTTGGACTGAAGGCACTCAAAACTACTCAATACACATGCCTCTAATTTCCCAGAAGACCAGGCATACTTTTTGTGTCTGTCAAGCTCTGCTGCTATGACAGGGTAACCAGCAGAGCAACGACCCTTATGATTGAAAGATTGATCGATTGTCTCGCTGTACAATTAAGCTGCCAAGCTTAAAGACACCAGTCTGTATTCAATGCATCCAGTGAATGGACATGAAGGTGGCTAAAAGACATTTTTCAACAGTTCCAGCTTCGAGAAGCACGTAGGCAACATAAAAAGCAGCAGCAACTTTCGTGCTCACCTTAAAATTTGAGGACGAATACCTTCAGGGACATTTTGTAATTTCATCCCACACCTTAGACCCCAAAAGGAGTTTTAATCTTCACTGTCGGTGCAATACCATTGACAGTATGATTTTTTTTTTCTTCAGGATGATACTGACTACATCCTTCACTCTCCCACCCACACCATTTATCTGAGCAACTTGCAAACACCCAACACAACATTTAATAAACAGCTAGACAATATTCCTCTTATACCAAATAATTATATGCAAATAATGTGTTTTTCCAAAAGTCAATTAAAGATCTGGACTGGTGTCTGTGATTGGTGAAACATTCTAGTCTCTTATTCTTTAAACCCTTGTGTAAAAATATTGGGTTGAATCTGTAACTGTTGTTGACAGTGTATGACAAGACACTCCTACAGGTGTGGCACATGATGCTGTTGGCATTAGGCCGAGCAGGTAAAACACCTCTTCTAATCATATTACAGACATTTAACTCAGAGAGAGCCACACAGCAGCAAATAAACACCACAATTGGGGCAAGGGGAGGGAGAGGTGCAGAACCAGAAGAATTTTTGTTATTTACCCTGGGGCACAGACGAAGTGTAAACAGGAGAAGTAACTAAAAATGTTCAATACCTTGTTGAGTTCTTCTATTCGGCGGATCAGGTAAGGGTTGCTGGATGAGTTCTCAAAGAATACATAATCTGGAGCACAAAAACAAAACAAAAAATAGATTAATTTCCGCGATCAGAAAAATAAAAAAAAGCAATACCCATTAACATAAATCATGATTATGATAAACACTGTGTGTTCTGTGTGCAGAAGTAAACATTAAATTTAGTAACACTGATTCCCTGAGATTCAATGGAATGATAGATAACCCCAAGAAATATTCACAGTAGTTGTCAGTATACCACAATGAAGCCCTCAACATTGTGAGGTGAATTGGGTTTTAAAAACGTGGATGCTGTAAATCACTCTGTTTCAACTGATATTTAAGAAAGTTAATGTGAAGTGTGACAGTGTGTGGCTCAAGAAGACTGAAATCCCCTCTGGACTGGTTGCACCTGATGAGATTGTAGGGTAACTGGAAAACATCTGCATTCAAATTCTGCCTGTAATGCTGTAATTACTACATTCCAGAAACACAAACAACCAAGTGCAAAAGTAAATATAGCAAAGTTGTAAGGGTGCTCAGTTGGAATGAGCACATTATAACATGTTTGTCTATGTCCATAACAGTTTTGCCTTAATGTCTGTAAATTTACAACTTTCAACATTGACCATAGGAATTATCTCCATAGCAAGAACTAATAACTGAACTAGGGACAGTAGAAGTGCATGTACACTACAGCTCCACTAATCTATGCTTTTTCTTTTCATCCCATGAGTTGCTGTAAAGCGTCTAGTGTCCCTGGTCCAGTGTAGGCACCCCCAGAATTGGGCCTTCATTAAATTATAAAAAAAAGGAGAGATCCAAACACAGGGGGCAACCATCCAGGATTATCTCGTCACTGGACAAGAGTGTCAGCTTACTCTGTGTATGATCAATAACAGAAAATATCCGATCATGTACCACTTCAATGCATGGTTAGACTAATCCATTTACACAAATGGAAATAGAGAAGCTGTGTCTACATCTCATAGTTGTACTTCTCACAAGCCTCTTAACAACCAACTGTAGACAGGTTAAACAAAATTGGCTACAATATGCAAAGCGATGGTACAATAAGGCCACAATTCTCTGCAGCAGAATTGTCCTTACATCCATATTAATATCAAGCCAGCAAATTGTTAAGGACATTGGAGTTACTTCTATAGGATGCTTAACAGTGTCTGTGAAGTGTTTGTCATTTTATAACCGACTCACAAAAAACTGTCAAGAGTTCTCAAATTTCACACTAGTCATCACATATACTTAAAGTACTTTACGCCAATGCCCCAAGTTATATAGTTCAAATAGTTGGACTTTACAGAGTACGCTTGAATGCCTCCGATCCCTGCAACCCAGGTGAGCTAATAGTTATCAGACATACGAAACAAAGCTACTTCACCAGTGATTAAATACAAGCAATTAATATCACCTGGACAAAGTACTCACTTGTGAAGTCAAGGTTATGATGGCATTATGTGGAATCTCAGTCTTTATAAAGAGATGGGGCAGAAGTACGTACTAATAAAGGCGTTAGGTATAATCCCTGCGGCGAATCGACGCCATGAAGCGAGACAATAATTTGATGCTGAATTCCAGGAGACCGCTAACAAGCTAGCCAACAATTAAAAGGCAACTTCCTAATCAACCTTGAATACAAGCGGTGTAGGTGAGCTGTGTTGCAATGACAGGAACGAAATGATCATAATACGTTCTATAAGACTGCTTAAACAGTATAAAAGCAGCGCATCGGCAGCTACTACGTTAATGAGTGAAGCCACTGCTGGTGCTAACGTTAGCTAAATTAGGGCTCGTACTAATGGCTGCATGCCAGAAGAGGCAAATACAAAGGCAGCCACACACAGTCTTGTGCTTCATTTAATCAACATTCACACACATTTCCAGTCGCCAACTCTTCCAGTGTGTTCATTTTCCTTATATCTGGTGTAAATGTCCGACAGCCGAGGAGCCACAAAAGTGCCGACGGTTAAAAAGATGTTTACATTGCGAGCTAGCCATTTAGCAAGTTGACGACTAGCTACTGTGGCCACGACAGACGCAAGGCCTGACCCATTTTGGATCACAAATATTTACAAATTCTACCCGTTTCGTCACAATTGTATGTGGCTCCTAATCTAAGACACAGCCATAGCTTACTATTTCATGCAAACAAGCTTCTGTAGCCAAACACCAGGGTCTGAAGCTGGTAATATTGCTACGGTTTGTGAGTGTTAAAAAGATCCACATTGACATACATACCTCCGACCCGGTACATGTTGGCCGCCATTTCTGCCCTCCCGGAGTGTTAACGTAAACCATAAACTAACAGGAGAATAATAAATAATTAATAATAAAAACAATTAAAATATATCCTAAAATGTAACAAAATACGCGACCGGCTGTGATCGCGGAGGCACTTGATGGGCGGCCAATATACAGAATCTTCCTAAAACCGCCCCCTCTCCTAATGCGATTCACGGCAGCCTTTACAATACAGTGAACTCACACAAGTCAGAACAACCAGATAAACCAGTGACGATGACGTTAGGAAGGGACACGTACGGCCACACGCGCGGACACGCGCGTAAGAACCGGACACACGCGGGATATATGAAAACAGTATACGTAGAGGTTGTGCTTTTATTTTTAAGGGGTTTTAGTTTATTTGCAGAAAATGAGTCAGTCCCTGTAGAGTAAATGTCAAGTCTTTAAAAAGAAGACACATCTAAATTAAATCAATGTCAGTTCCGGTGGATAAACTTGAAAGAAGTAAGAAAATACAACCCTTACAGACATTTAATGTTTATTTAAAGACATTAAATAAAAAACTCCAATTAAAAAAAAATCGAAATTCCATTGGGATCCCAATGAAACATTTGAGGTTTGGTGCAAATTGCACAATGTACAGTATAAGGAACACAGCAACATCCTATCCATCGTGATGCACCAAGATTTGATGCTACATCACAGACAAACAAAGTGAGTATAAAATGAGTCTCTTCTAACTTTTTATCAGCATATAGAACAACTGACCAAGTTTGATGTTAGTATTGCTGGAGACATTAAGGCAAAATACAACAGTAAAATTGATTGAGATGTAATTTCAGGGTATGTATCAAGGAGTCTTATTTATTTATTTATTTTCAGTCTGGCCTGATTCACACGCCTGCCAAACTAAATGGATTTCCTGTGCTGGTGGGGTCAAATCATTGTGCCATGTGTTGAGGTGGCATTTGGCCTTGTGGTAAAAGGATCAGGCTTGTTTGTTGTGCAACATGTGTCTGAATATGGACAATGACAATAAAGGCGATTCTTCAGAATTTCTGATTTTTGTGTATTTTTAAGTTTGAACACTAGGATTCATTTTGGAGCAAAAAGTTTCTTTTTCATTTCTTTTTGAGCATCACAATCAGCTTTATTGGCTGTAAAGTATGGTGCTTATGTTTACTCTTACTATAGATTTAATAAGAAGAAATGCAACACAACGGATAAGACAAGATCTAACCACAGAAAAGATAAACTGCACAATGTTTTAACAAAAACAAACAACGAGCAGTGAGGAAAAACTTAGAGGACGGTGTGGGAGGATGTGTTCATGTTTACACATATATTAGGGAAAACGCATTGCAGATCATGCAACATTAAACATCAACTTGGCAGTGATAGAGTAGCTCTGTGCTTTTCCTCCATGACTTTTTCTTTTTCGTGCGTGGGTTCGTGCGCGCGCATGTGACATCACTGGTGGGACTGGCTGACTGGGGTGGAGAGTCTCCTCCACAGACTACAGAGGTACAAGGAGAGGAGGAGAGTAGAGGACGCAGGGAGAGTTTCCATCAGCCACGGAGCTCAAAGCCGGGCCAATATCTCCACCACATCCCGGAGGACTCGGGAAACTGCAGCGCCCCATCCCACAAAGTGTCCAAACACCTGCAATGGAAGGGGGCGTGGAGTGTCAAGAGTTTTAGATCACAGTTTGACGGAATGAAGTTTGGAAAAAGCATCTGCGTGCTGAACGTAGGGGGAACCCGCTACGCCTTCACCCGGGAGGTGATCAGGGATTTCCCTCTCAGACGCGTCAGTCGCCTGCATGCCTGCGCAACAGAGAAAGAGGTCCTGGAACTGTGCGACGACTACGACCGGGACCGGAATGAGTTTTTCTTCGACCGCCACGCTCAGGCTTTCGTCTTCATCATGCTTTACGTGCGCTCCGGTAAACTCCGCTTTGTGCCCGGAGTGTGTGAGCTCTCCTTCTACACAGAGATGCTCTACTGGGGGCTAGAGAGTGCTCACTTGGACTCCTGCTGCCAGAAGCGACTGGACGACAGGATGTCCGAAATCGGAATGGACACTTTGTCGGAGGGCGAAATTGGGGGGACCGGGGATGAGTCCCAGAGCCCTGGTGACTCCGTAGAGCGCAGTGCGCTCGCGGGCCGCGAAAGATGGCTTGAGATGATGCGCAAAGCATTCGAGGAGCCAAACTCTTCCATTGTTGCGCAGCTTTTGGCTTCAGTATCCGTGATCTTTGTGATGGTGTCTATGATCATGCTGTGCGCCAGCACCCTGCCGGACTGGGACACTGCCAAGAGAAACACTGTGGAGGAGCACAGGTAGGCGTCAGTCATGGGTCAGTTATATATAAAAAGTGACAGATCAGACTGATTGATGAAGATGCCTTTAAATATTCACGCGCAAAGAATGTGGCAAGTAAACCTCCTCTGGTGCGTAAAGTGAGCTCAACAGGCTAAACCATGTCATAGATGTGTGATCCCGTTATGATAAAACACTGCATGCATAATTAAACACACTCATAATCAATTCATAATCTCATTCGAGCAAGAGGCCCAAAGGGAATGACCAGAGTTGTTCCGCACTAGTCATGTATTACCCAGAATAAAAAATGATAATACATTTAAATTCCAATACCCTGTTTGTTTGTATAAGGTTTATAATAACAAAAAGAAAATCGTTTAATTGAAATTACATACACTAAAATGGATGATGGAAAATATGCAGGGGTGACATGCTCCCCATGTCAGTTCTCCAGGAGGTAAATCAATAATCAATCATTAGGATGTAGAGAACTACAGCGTTAATTATTACATTATTGCAGTTTTTCTCCTCTTCCTTCTACACAGACTCTTCCTCTCCTTTATACAAGGAATAAATAATACTGCAGAGTGCACAAACACTTCAGATAAATGGCAGATTCATTATATTCCAGTGTGGATGGGTTGAAAATATGATGAATTAAAGGGAGTTAAAGTCAGTGACAGTTATTGTCTTTAGTCTGTACTGCCGAGCTGCAGTTTTTCAAGGTCCAATTCTGGAGGCGCAGAAAAAAAAAGTGCACCTCTGTTTTCACATGATTTTGGCCTGTTCACTGCCCGTTCTCTGTGTTCCGCCTCAGGCAAACTCTTTATATAAGGCTAGGTTTGGAGTTTTTGGATCCGTTACAGTGGTTAGGTAATCAACTAAACGTGTAGTTCATGCTTGGGGTCAAATTATTTCTATTTCGTTTCATGCCAGCGAATGATGTAATTCTCCCACAGCCGCAACATAACTCAGTTTGGTCTAATTGTTTTGATGTAGTTGTTCTCAGCCCCTGGTGTTTGCATGGTCTGACTACTTTAATACATGCATCACCTCACTAATTCACTTCCATGGCCTTAATCAATGTGCTAATAGTGTGCGTGCTCAGTCACACTCTCCCTAACAGGGTTTTGGTCCTTCCCTCTGCACAGTTTCCTGGTGATTTTCTCATCTTCCTCCTTTGCCATTGTTTACTCTCGTGAATTTCATCAGATTTTTTTCTCCCTGTTCCATAAATCATGTCACCCTGCTCTTTCTGTGACATATTTACACATCTAAATGTGTCTTACATCACATACATCTCATTTATTTCCTGCTCACAGTATATATTTCAATCATTGTCCCCCCCCCCCCCCCCCCCTCGCCTCTGTAGGATCGTGGAGGCCGTGTGCATCGGTTGGTTCACAGCTGAGTGCATAGTGCGCTTTCTGGTCGCCAGAAACAAGTGGGACTTCCTCCGTCGGCCCCTTAACATCATCGATGTGATCGCCATCACACCCTACTATGTCACCATGGCGATGGCCCGGGCAGGGATGCCGGGTGCTGGGCTGGGCGTCGCTGGGGTCATACTGCGTGTGCTGAGGATGATGCGAGTCTTCTGGCTCATGAAACTGGCCAGACATTTCCTGGGTCTGCAGACACTGGGGCTGACACTGAGACGCTGCTACAGGGAGATGGTCATGCTAATGGTGTTTGTCTGTGTGGCCATGGCAATATACAGTGCTCTGGCCCAGCTGCTGGAACACGGCTTGGACTTGGGCACACAGAACCAGGATTATGCCAGCATCCCGGCCGCCGCCTGGTGGGTCATCATCTCCATGACGACAGTGGGATATGGAGATGTGTACCCTGTGACAATCGGGGGACGGGTGCTCGGGGGAATGTGCGTCGTCAGTGGCATTGTCCTCCTGGCACTTCCCATCACGTTCATCTACCACAGTTTTGTACAGTGCTACCATGAAGTCAAATTCCGCTCTGCACGATGCACACGCAGCCTGTCAGCAGAGATACTGCGGTAAACATTTCTACTATACATCTGTGAATTTACTGTCAACAGAAAGACACTCAACAAACCAGTGATGCTGATCCCATTGTGAAATGATGGTTAACCTTTCTTGTCACTTGAGTTATTTTAATACAAACTGAAAGCAGCAGTCAACCACCAGCACGTACCTCTGTTGGTGGTAAAAAAAAACATTATAAATAAAAGGCTTTGGAATTATTGGCCTAAATCCCACTTGATTTGCAATGTCATTAAAATGTCCTTGGTAATGTATTGTCTTGGTTACTTGTTTCAAGTCTGTTTCACCAGAACATTGTGTCCATTTTGTTAATTATTATCTACCATCTAAAAGGAGCCTGAATGCAAGTCATCTTTGTCCAGGTTAAAAAAAAATGTAACGTGAATTTAGGAACAAAGGAATTGGTTGCCCTACAGTGATGTCTTATGTAGGGTCTGCATTTTTGCAGAACTGTATTTTCATAATCTACCTTCAAAGATATTCATCAATTCAACAATTCCTTCAAATCTTTGCTGAATACAGGAAAGAGGAAGTGGAAATTTCCTCACAGCATCAACAATGACTGAAGTAATGACAATTGCACTTGAGTTTTGTCCCAGCTGACTTCAACATAACAGCTGCTGATTTGCTATTCAAACATTTCAGTACAATGTTGATTATGCCTTGTTGTTTTTTTATTTTATTTTGCAGTGTAATTCATCTTCATCCTATCCTAACCACTAAGTCTGTATTGTTACCAAAATAAGATTTTTATGTGTGGGGAATTTTTGTGTTGCGTTCAAAACAAACCAACAGTGTGGCCTTGTTGAAGTGCTTTTAAACCTCAAATTTGACATTTTCTTGTCATGCTCAAATAAATATTTAAACACACATAAAAAGCGACAGCCCCTTGTATGGTCACACATTGTTCAGAGCTTGTCAAGCGTCTGTTTGTTTGCCGTCGTCTTTCAGCCGTGCCTGTCTCACTGACATCATGGTTTGAACAGAATAATGGGAATACAGACGTTATTATTTATTAAACACACACACACGCAGTCAGTCCAGTTTTGACAGCGGCTGCTGTTTATATTGTATTCCCATGGTTACAATAATGGCAGGGAAGGCAGCTACTTTGTCTGCTGCGTCACACGCTAAATGTACATGTATGTATGTGTTTTTGTATGTGTTGTTATGACCATTGTCCAACCGTTATGCCTAGATCAATAATCTTCAACTGATCTTCAAATCTGGCTCGCCAAACCGTTAAATCCAGCCCGCTACTGGATTCCAAATCTGTGAGCGTCAAAAAGAAAATACTGAGTGGTCCCCACTATTAAAGCAACTGAAATAAAACAACTACTGAGACACAAATAACTATCATTATCCACACCATTTTTGGCTTTATTTATATTCCGTTAGACCAAATTAGATATGTATTTAATTTTATTCGAGCATCTCCCATGTGTTTGACAAATAAATGGTATAGATGGCACAGTGCTGATGCGAGACCTAGATGCGTTCGGTATAGCCCTAGAAATGAGAAATAAATAAAGTGAGAGTGAAAAGTGGATTAGGAAGGGTATCTAGGGGTTTATTGTGTACAGGTAGGTCAAGCAAGAAGAGATTAGATACAAAAACCAAGATAGACCACAGTGAATTGTGAGGTACTTTGTATTTCCGTGTCTCCAAGGCAACCTCGTCCTCCGGCACGTCAATCATAATGGAGGTTGATATGTGTGCACACAAATAGGCCACATCCTGCGACTCTCCTGGTTTGCATGAAGCAATTTTTATCTTGTAATTAAACGGGGGAAAAGTGCCTCCATTCCCTTAATGAAAACAGACAGGTGTGTGTGGGGTGGGAGGGCAGCTGAGCAGCATGGGCAGTCACAGACGACGACTCCGAGATTTGTGATTCAGACATGTTTGCAGTGGCCTTGGTTAGCCAAGATGATATGATTTGTTGAAGAGACACATGATCCAAACAAACAAGTCAACACCTCTCCCACACAACAGCCTTTCTCTGCATCTCCTCGCATCTTTCTTCTGTTGCTGTTATCCGTCTTTTAGTACAAATGTGCACTTCTAGCACAGGCACATACACACACACCCATAAGGACATACACACAAGAGGGTGTCAGCCTGTTCTAAAATTTAAAGGCTGTGTTTTTCCCCGTAAACTTTGTGGACATGTGAGAGTTTACAACATAAAAGCACAACATTCATATTTCAGTATTCATGTTGTATTGTTGTTGTATTTTTAGTTGTGTTATTGTGACAATGTAAAAGATTATGGTGTTTTTATAACTTTGTTTACACCAAATCATTTCAACTCATTTGGCGGAGTTTATGGCTCAGCTAATTTTTGGCCCATTCTGATTGAAAATTAAAACCATTTTCATCAGTTGTCTTTGGAATTACCTTTTAATTAATTTTAGAGATAGGTTTGGTTTCACAATAAAAAAATTGAGATTTCTGGATGTATTATTGTACAGAGTACAAATCAAACATTAGAAAAGATTAGAAAAGATGTGAATCATCAGGCACAAAAGTGAATATGTGATAGTTACAAAAACACACCTGGAGTTATAATGTCTCCAATGCTATGTAATCACATTCATGAACTAAATGCACAATACAATTATTGTTTACAGATATCACACACAGTTTGTGAAACAAACTGCTATTTTCTAGCAGTGGATTAATCACATGAAAAATCATGGTAGCAATTAATCACGTTTATTCATCTTTCAGGGTACTAAATTATAGATTACTAACTTATACTAAATACATTTACTAAATTATAGATTTTTTTGTATATTGCTGGAATAGAAAAACAAATAACAACAGGCAGATGGATGTCTTTCACAACTGTTGATATAATTATCAACATGGAAAACTATCAAGAACCATATGAAACATTAGTATAACTACAAAATTAACTTCACAAAGTTGGTGGATTTTATTCATTACTGTGCATCTTGACTTTTTCCACAGTTTGTGCAAGTGTAGCCACTGTGTATCAGACCAAATACTAGTAATACAATTAATACAATTGCAATCTGATTCAATTCATAAATAATAAAATACAAAAACAGATTCATTCTGAGAGTCCTGGTTTTTACATAAGCACATACATAGTGAACTGTATCTGTGTATCTGGCTCATGATGATTAGGGAAACCTAATGGTTTTCATATAGTTTTCCTACTAATACTAATGGTTCATTTATTGTTGTGTACATTTGTTTGTTGAATGTAGCTCGAAAAAAGGAGAAAGAAACTTTGACTCTGACTTTGATATAGTTTTAATTCACAATTCAATTAAAGTAAACTATTTTTAAAAGTACTTGTAAATACATTTCTGTATTTTGGCTGTATGTTGCAAAAGTACATATTGCTTTAGATTCAAATGCATATCAGACTACTACCAACACAGACATAAAACATTTTAAATCCCACGTACATATTTTCCAAACTCTGCGGTTACATTTTGAGCAGGCAGGAGCGAGACAGCTACTGTATACGTCACTGTCAGTTGACGGACGCCTTACAAAGACCCCTTAGCGGCTGGTTTCCTTTCAATCCAACGCGGATCAAAATCGGATTAGTAATTTGACGATAAAATGTACTACAAATTCAGTGGTTTAACCCAAAAACTGACGGGATCGTCTCATGCGGCCGTCTTCAGTCCTCAGGTAAGACCACAAGCCCGAGAGACATCGATGGTTTAATCGCAAAGACATGACCTTCATCAAAATTACCGCGTTGGTTCGCCTTTTCTTTTCCTGCAGGAATTCGGATTGTTTGTATATTGTCATTTAAACAAATACATTATAACTAAAATCACTAGCATTTACTGATTCTTGTTTTCATTTTTCAACATCAAGTGTGAAATGTTGTTCTGCCGTTATGTTTTCACGTTCAGAAAAAGAACAGCGCCGTGAGACAAAACATACGCATAACACCCACAAAAATGGAGTCTGCGACCTTTACTGTTTAATAATCCTGTAAATTAAATTCCACTTCCGTCACTACGTTATCGAAGAACCTTTGTTTGAAAAGGTTGTTCCTGATATGTGAATCCACGGATGTGGCCTTCGTGTGACTTTACAGCCAATTTAAAAATGCAATGGCCTGTCAGAGCCCGTGCCAGATGTGACCTTTGTTTTGTTCCTCTCCCCTTCACACATGCGGGACTCAATGTCATTTAATAGGAACAGAAGTGAAAATTAGATTGCATCCTTGGTTGTTGTTATGACAAAATATAAATCCATAAAATCTCAGAAGTTGTGCAGAATGTGTTATGGTGTTGCGTTTTCCTGAACATAAAAATACTCTGGTGCCTACAGCTCATCTAAAGTAATGCTTGGCGATAAATCAAATGCAAATTCAGTAATAAATGTTAGAGGATTGAAAAATGTAGGCACATTTTTCTACATTAGGGGTTTACACAATATTTCTTTATCTCTAGTGTTGTATGATCTATATTAAATTGTGTTTTTTGAATTAAGTATTAATGTATACTGTGAATAAAAAAGCCGCAATGCAAAAATGTTGTTGGTAGATCTTGTTAAATAAATGCGTTGGAAAATAGTCGAGGCACTTAACAGTTTTTTTTTATATTTAATAAAAAAAATCTGCTGAATGTAGTAATAAATGATCTGCTGAGTTTACACAAAGCTCTTTATGAAGTCATTATTTTTGCTGTTTGGTTTGTGAGTGCAGCAAGGATTTTTCTAAATGACCATTCATTTCATTACCAGGGGCTGAGACCAGGTGTGCCAGCAGAGTCCCCAGCCATGGTCTTTGCCTCACCGACAAAGTTGGTGTCAGAGAACTCATCTTCAGTGGAGTACTTGGGGAGAAATAATGTGAATGAAATACAAAAGCTTTTCCAGGTAATTACCAGACTGAAATAGTTCATTTTCCCTCATTGTTTTTTTTTAAATACTAGAAACACAAGAGATGAACTGCAAATTTTGTGCTACTTGGAGAAGTAGGGAAGTTTTGGTATTTCTCATACACAACAGTTCTGCCAAGGCTTGGATTCAAACTGGGGAATCCTCAGATGAAAAGCCTGATCATTTAACCACTGGTTCAACTAAAAGGTTCAATTCCCTCCCCTTGCAAAGTTAATCTGTGCCTGCTTCTTCACATGAGGCAGCAGGGGAAATAACAAACAGACACACAAGTGTGGCAAGGCAATTATTCAATCAAATTAAAATGTCCGTATTGACTGCTGTATAACTGCAGGTTTTTGTTGACATGTCTTACGTAAGTGTGAAGAGACCGTACATCAAAGTACTGTTTAGAAGCTGCAAACAATTTCCAACTGCATTGTAAAAAAATGTTTTCTTCCTCCACTCCTTTGTCTCAGACGCAAGACGGCCTTCCTATTCATCTAAAGCGTGGACTTTCTGACAAGCTGTTGTACCGCACTACCATGGCTCTCACCATAGGTGGCGCTCTGTACTGTTTGGTGGCCCTTTACATGGCAGCCCAGCCAAAAAAAAATAACTGAACAACAACAATGTAGGATTGATCATTCTGCCTTCAACATGTCCAACATCGACAGCCACGGGGGCCTCGGCTGTCCTCCTTAGAGACTTTCAGACTAGAATAGGTTACTTCTCCAACATCCCACCACTGTCACTGATACAAATGTCCATCTTCTTGTAAAAAATGTCTATTAATAAATTTTATGGTGAAAGAGTTCAGTGGTCTAAACTTTTCTATTTGTTTGTTTAAATACAAAGCCCCTGCTTTTCTGTGGGTTGTTGATTTGTCTTTGTGTCGGTGGATGTCATTGTGGATCAAACCCTGATAGAATTGTGATTCGCTCCCTCTAAGTCGTGCTCAAAGGGAGGAGAACACGTACTGATTTTTTTTTTTTTTTTATCTTAACGCTAACAGCTTTCAGCAGGCCTGTGATGTTGCTGCTAAAGCACGTGTGTGCCAGAGGGAGCAGGCATGATGGAGACAACCCGTCTGGAACAGAGCTGCTGCTCACTTGGCTTGAGGTGCTGTCTCATACACTATTAATATGTGTGGGTTTCTGGTGTGATGTCAGATGGGTTGAAAGACACGGAGGTCGCTTCTGACTGGCGCAGGAGTTACATAAAAAATGTTTCAGAAATACAATTTGACTAGATTCAGATAGACAAAGTGACATTATTTTAATTACAAATATATGTGAAATATACTACATAGCAGGTGTCACTAACTATTTGTTGGATGGCCAGAATTGTCAGCTGCCTTAGGATGCTGGACACTTAAGTAAAATTAAATAAAAATCGAATTTATTTTGTCACATTTTTACTTGTTTATTTTGGAATCCAGCTGTGAACCGTATTGGACAATTTGGCGGGCCAAATCCAGCCCACGGGCCGACGGTTGATGGTCTCTGCTAGGTGGGATCCACATAGTGGAAAAGGTTGGTCTTGTCATTGCTCTTACAGCCTTTCTGTGTCCATGTTCTTCCAATATACTGTATGTTCCGGTGTCTACCACGAAGAAAACGCACGCAGCATTGTGTTGAATAGAAATTCTAATATACTAATATCAACATATACAACTAACAACAAAGTTGTTAGCTTTTAAAACTTTACACTAAACGCATAGTGGTTTTCAACTGTAAAAATGTAAATATCAAAATGAATTTGACTTACTTATGTTAGCACAACTTTGGGAGCTTTAGTCCAACAGTGGGTAAGGTTTACCTATACAAAATGAGTTTGACACGGTTCATTAAAATTCCTCCATCATGGCAACAGCTGCTGACACCAAATGTTTTTTTGTTATTTGTGTTTTGTTGGCCAGTAACCAGAGACGGAAAAACCTTTCCTCGGATAAGCTTGTTCAAAGAATGGATGAGTGTAATTTATTAAATGTGCCAACTTCATTTATCAGCGTGAGTCTGCCGGCCTCTTTGTCATGTCATCAATACTTCACAGCCCGAGCAAAGCCTCATTATGGATAATTAATGATAGTTACTGGTTTATAATGAAGCATGTGATGGAAAAATGGGCTTGCTAATAAATAAGCAGAGGGCTCCACTAGAAAACGCCAGTGAATGTGGACAAAAAATGTCTACACAAAAGTACTTATAGATACTGTGTGCTGTGTGCTGTGAATGCTGCGTTTTACAGCGTATACAGTAATGGTACGACGATGGGGAAGAGAAAGAACCAACAGCTCTAACAGAGAAACTCCGTTAACGCAGACAGAACACATTTAATGATCATCCACTAACCACAAATCGAGCCTGTTTCCAGTCTGATGGGTTTTCAACCAACGTCACCGACTGCTGCCATGGGAACAGGGTTCAGTGACCAGACTGGCTAACTGTTATTGGCATCCTAACAGCCCATAGAACCAGGACTCCATGTGTCACCTCTCACCTTCTTCAAGGCTGAGCCAGGACCTGATTCTATTATTCCAGTGAACCTTGAATTTATTGTAGCTACAGTTTTCTTCGTGAGTGCTGAATATTATCCTCCAATACTGATCCCTTCCACCGGGGGCACCCAGAATATTTTCAAATGCATATAAATCAGTGTTTTTCAACCTTGAGGTCGTGGTCTTACGTGGTGTTGCCTAGAATTCAATTGGGGGTCACCAATTAATTGTCTAGTTATTGATTAAGAAAACAAATTACTGATAGATTTTTATTTCACTTACAGTACATTAGGAGAAACATTTATTTGAAACATTTAGTTTGCATCCAAAGTGCTGCTTATTTCAACTGCCAAGAGTAAGGTCAAGATAATCTGAAAACATGGAAATGTCATGAAATAACCATAGAATTGGCAAAGCAAACTAAGATAGAGAGGCTTTCACCTAAGAGTTTATAATGTTCATATGAGAGCCTCAGCTGAGTGCCAGAAACCACTGCAGTCACTGCTTTGAGTTTAATGTGCAAGTGGGAGTTTAAAACCAATTTCTGATTCTTTTTAGTTCTCTTACTCACTGGCCTCCCACTGAAGCCATTCTTAGAAGGAATAAAATAAACAAATTATTCTGAGCAGACGACATAAGTGTCAGGAGATGTATCAAGTATCTCATTCAGATAATAAATTCCCGTTTGCTTTTCACCGAGGAATCCTTAAGCGTCACCTTAATTCCACCCCAACCCTCTCCCCTGTGCATCATGACAGCCCACTCAAGCGTCCCTGGAGAGACAATGGACGCTTTTGTTGTGGTTCCACTCCAGAACAGAAGAGACACGACAAGTCTGCAACAACATGTTTACAGCTCAGTGACACAGCCCTCCATCTGTTAATGAAGGAAACACCTGGGGGAGTGTGAAGACAGGAAACTGAGGTGAAGGGAGAGACAAAATGCAGGAAGTGAGTGGGGTGTGAGGAGAGGTAGGGGTGAGAGTGTGGGAGAGATAAGGGTGAGGGGAGGATGGGTGTGACGTATTATTTGATAGAAACTGAAAATGGAATAACGGATGATTTTACTGAAGGATTCTTAGGAACAAAGGGTAAATACTGACTTTAATCAAGGTATTTCCAGATGTATTTACTGTATATTTCTGAGATTAATCTCAGGATTCTGGAGAATTGAAGAATAAACTTATCAGAATGATTTTGTGTTAAAAACAAACTCCTGGTGGAAATTAGAAAGTGTTTTAGGAAAACAAAAATGGAATAATTAAACCAAAATGATTGAATTGGAATCAAAGTAATTCTGTCTTTCCCTCATGTAACTCCTAAAAAATATTTAAATACAAAAATGCTTAGCTGTTGTTGAACATGCCTGGATCTAATATACCCTTTAAAGCATGTGAGACATCCTCAGGCTAAGGTGTTATAAGGTGTTTCTAACAAGGTGAAGCCTGGTCGTCATGTGCTTTTTATATCTACTGCTGTGAGTTAGAGCGGGAAACCAGTGGAGAGAAGCTAGCATGCTGTCTGTTGCTTCCTATCAGAAATTATACTGCAGTATTTTGGGATTACCTGACTGCATTTAATTATTAAAAGATGACAGTGAATAATTACTCTCTCTGCTCCAGTTTAGTCAAAATGAAAGATTGGCATTTTAAGCATGGTACTTTTACATTTCCTCTAGTATTTTGTATTAATCATGATTCTTAGTTTTTTCTTAATTGCTGGAACATAAATACAAATAAAAGCAGGTAGATGCATCTAGAAAATAGGTATTTTTATATCATAGATATCTTTGTTCATACATGGGTACAAAATGACAACAGTAGCTGTGAGTCAAATGAAGGTGAACTCTGTGTTAGATTAAACTGCCAATCTGCATATTTTATGCTATCAAGTGTGAGTGTGGAGTTTAATTACTGATGTGATGTGTTTCTCTCCAGATGTTTTTGCTGTTGATTTCATCTTGAGCCGTGTTTCACGCTGCCTCTTGCTGTTAGCCTTCTTCAAACGGTGTGAAAACCCCTGTATCCAGCTCCTCGGGTTGTTATGTTCCTCTCCATCAGTCTGCTGCTGCTGAGGCAGTGCTGTACGCTGAGAGGCTTTGGCAGCGTGCGCCAGCCCAACAATACATGTTTGAAACAGCTTTAGAAGTAGACAGAAGCTGAAACGCTGTGCAGATCTGCTGCGTTTGAGGAACGGCCTCTGCCTTCACCGCAACGCCACAAATCTTTTACATTACGCAAACAATGGACGACACAGTCAATTTGTCGACACAATTCATTGTTGTTCTGCTGTCTGATGGTCTGGGGACTTCACACAGGAACAATACAGTGACCCAGCAGCTCTGTATACAGTAAACTAATGGCTGGTACAAGAGCCTCATACGAAAAAGGCTGTGGACAGGGAGGAGAGGAGGCGCGGGTGTGAGTGGAGAGGGGGGTGACAAATCACCTCAGCTTACAATACCCTACCACCACAGCACAGCCTGAGAACAAATAATGAATAAATAAAAGTTCTGAGATTGAATGAGGGGAGCGATGTGAGTAGCAGTAATCCTGTGTGTGTGTGTGTGTGTGTGTGTGTGTGTGTGCAAATGGCCTTGAGCTTGTCTGGCAGATTAAATGACCATAAGTGGGACTGAGCACACCAGAAGAACAGCCACATCTGACAACTCTGTCCACAAAGTGCATCGATGGCACACACACACAAAAAAAAAAAAAACACTTACATGGAAGAATGACGTTCTTTGAAAATGATCAAGCGTGACGTGTGGTGTGAATCTGCACTCCTACCACACTGAGACCTGGGTGAAATCAGTGTGTGATTTAGTTCAGATCAGTGTAAAGTCAGCCCTCAAACCACAGCTGTAGGGTTTCTCCTGCAGGAATCCACTCACCTCCTCCTCTGCTCTCCACTTTAAATGACCTATCAGGACCAATATAGAAAGTGGGAAGTAAAGTCATGCAGAGCAAAGGTAATGGAAGGCACAGCGTGACATCAGATAGAGCTGCTGATTGGCCTTGTGAATGTCATCTATACTTAGACGGTCCATGTATGTTTTTTCTTTGTGATTTCTTCGGCTTTTCCCTAGCAACAACCTTGTACGGGAGTTTAAACACAGAGTGAACAGGTCAGCTGACCGCATGATGAGAAAAAAGAAGAGAAAAAAAAGCGTCTGGAAATCCCAGTTATACACATCAGTAAATTTCACACAAAGAAAAAAAAATTACTATAATTTTTTTGACACGTTTAAGGTGGTGCTCACTAATGGGTTATCATCTGAGTGGCAACGCCACTTATTTCGTCCCTTATTTCTGAGAGCAATTCATTTAAAGCGAGTTTCACCGTGGTTACTTGCCTGTGAGGGAGAGGAGAAGCAGTAGGCGGCATAAAAGAAGGGAAATTAATGCCCCTGAAATGAAAGGGAATCAATATGGCTGCCTGAGGATGTGAAAAGAAGGAAGGAGAGTGAAAGAAGCAGAGGGAGGAGGGTGTTGAAATAGAGTTGGACCAGATTAATGGCTGTTTAAAAAGGAACTGTATTCATCAGTAGTCTGCTTCAGGTGCAGAACAGTGTGTATGTGTGTGTGTGTGTGTGTGTGTGTGTGTGTGTGTGTGTGTAATAAACTTGTCCATAACTTTCTATCTCCTCAATGAACAGAGTACTCAAACGTTGATTGCTTTTGCATTTTGAAAACAACCATAGGCTCCATTTCTCTTCTTCCATGCCTGCACACCACCAAACACATTAATTCTATTTTTAACAGAAATGTATACAAATTCCAAACACTTTATATGTGCATATATATATATATTCTGCTCACATATCTTATTACGATATGTTGGTTTCATGTCGGTGTAAATGGTGGAATTGTCCAATTAACAAAAAGAAGAAGAAAAAGATGATGATAAAACAGACGTACAGACTGAGTCACTACCCCCTGCAGTACTTCTGCAGACCCCTAGGGGCCTGTTCACTGCTTATAGGACATCTGCCATCGATCAGTTTAACATACAATAAGTTCAACAATAACAAATTCAAATCAATAAATGATTGTTTTGAATAATATTAATAGCATTTTAGCATTTTTGGTTAACTAATTATACAGATGGATCCATATTTGGTTTAATGTTTTTGATTTGTTGTTGTTTCTGAGATATTTTATTTCTTGGAATCCATTTGTGTGAAAATTAATTCAATCAAAATTATTATATATAAAACAATATTAATATAAACAATAATTATAATAATAATTTAGTGTTTTTTAATACAAGATGTGATTTTGTAGTGGACAGTAACAGTAATAGTTTTTGATGTAGTGGAATAAGGATTCTGTTGAAAAAATCCTGACTCCCAATGAATGTAGTTATTATCACCCTGAGGAATGCATTTAACTTAGCTTATAATGAGTCTTTAAAGTGCTATAACATATTTACACACAGGCGGTGATCCAACAGCACCACCTACAGGTTCAAACCTAGTTTAATTATATGCACGACGTTTTAATTCGATCCATACAATTGATGATAAAACAGACGTACAGACTGAGATATAAGTTATATATTATTTATTCAAAAAAAAAAACATAATATGAACAATTCCAGATTTCACAGTACCAACTGTGAAATCAACGTTGCATCTGTTCCACAAAGTTGTCAGTGGAACTGCAAGGGACACACTTGCACAGACTTGCTGCGCAAACACGTGTGACTTCTGTCACTTGCACTTATATGTGAGCTGTTTACGGTGATAGTGGATCCACGTGGGAGCAACGACAAGCCCGGTCAAGAAGCCAATCACAGCGCCCAGACTGCACGAAATGGGCCAAACCTAGGAGAAGCAGAAGATGGGTGAACGTGAACGAACATTTAAAGTGAGTGCGCAATGGTTACACTGTAGATCAAGAGTGAGCCCATCCTGCCCTGAAGGAAAAAACAGCATTGATTTTTATGGGTTATGCTCCAATTCTCCAGGTCTATACCTCTCATTTGAATCTTTCTCCAACTGTTTCACACAGAACTCCTTTTGCAATTATAGTTTAATCAGTTGCCTTTTGTTATTAAAAGAAAAAATGATTCATTTAATAAAAGAAAAGCTTTAATGGTCACTGTCTGGTAGTAAATGGAATGACTGGTTCCTTGTTATCAGAGACTGTGAGGACACAGATTGCATTGTGCCAGAGGCAGGATATGCACATGGCAGGTCATTATTCAATTCTACAGTTGGAAGGCAAGTTTAAATTACTTTGAAGCTGTATTATGCAGTAAATGTTAATGGTGTAAATGTATTCGGGCTATTCTCAGTTAATTTTCTACTTCACCGCAGGGTATTCTGGTTTATACCAGACCAAACATCCAAGAAAGTTACACTCTCAAAAGGTGGACAACACACAGAATACTTATAGAGTAGAGTGAAATCAGAAATTTCTTACAACATTTACAACATTTCTAAACATCTATCTAATGTATTAGCACCACTGGCCAGGAACACAACATCACATCAACAATTCTCTGGACTTTGCCAACAAAGTTAAAGGACTCAAACTGGAACCAGATGAGACAATGGTTTCACTTCACATTTTACTTGCATTCCCACTTCTGATGGTATCAAAATGACCAAAAAACGCTTACTATAAGACACAACTTTAGCTGACAGAACCGCCTTAACTCCAGACCAGATTTGAACACTCCTAGACCTCTGCTTAACCACCATTTATTTCCAGTTAAATAGCAGTTTTTACAGACAAAAACATGGATCCACCATGGGGTCTTGAGTATCACACCTTGTGACTTTACATTGCGCCCTCTTTAGAATAGGGTGGGTTTCACCACACCTCCATCCCCCATCTGCAACGACCCTCGTTACGGGTATGTAGTGCCTGAGGCTAAATACTAGAATTTTCCAGTAGTCAGTCAGAACTGAAGAAGCCTCTTGCATGAGGCGTGACACGGCTTCAAAAAACCTACTTTGTCCAGTTGCCCTCTATGTAACTATTTTTGGATACAAAAGTAATCTCCTTCAGTTCTTTTCAGGTCTGTTTAAAGTTTTTGTTTTTTAAATCCTGCTCCCATTGTGTGCTGACCTGCCAGGGCCTGTCCCAGTCCAGAGGTATAGGGAAGGCTCCAAACCAGGCTCCTATTAATGTGCAGGACACTGTAATCTGCAGACAGGTGTCCCATACTGACATCGCTCTGAAGATGAAGACAGAACAGAACAAAGCTGTGTAATTTCATGAAGCTAGACAAGAACAACATAATAAAATAACACGATAAATTCTGATATTACCCATGCCAACTGAAAACTCGTATCCAGGCCTGTACGTTAGGCCCCAGGACACAGAGGCACCTTAATGTAGTTAGAGAGGTCAGGAGGACAGCAAGAGAGAACGTCTCCAGGGCAGATCTGGAAAAAAAGACATATATTTGAAGCTTAACTAATCATATTTGTGTACTGTATGTGTACTTCTCTTTCCTAGTGTCATAAGAGTATAACATATAAAAGCCATAAGCATATGCTGTACTCACTCGATCAATGGAGCCCCATAAAGAACCACTACAGTGTGAAAGAAGAGGCAGGACAAGAAGAAGTATAGGCAGCAGCGGAACAACCGAGAAAGCTGCATATAAACAGAAGCCGTTTGCTATTTTGCTGAAATTATTTTCAACTACATATATATATATACAGTATATTCAATTTAAAAAACGCATTAATCCAACGTGTTCTTTCAGGGCTTACCTTATATCCCAGTGTGTGCTTCTTCGTCGGCGGTGTGACGCCTAGCAGCCAGAAGACGGCGACACTGACCACCGTGACCACGAAGGACACGGCGTAAATCCACACTAGGTGAGTACCGTACACAGAAAAGCTCTCCACGAACGCTGCAGGTAGCACGGTTGCCATGAACACTGAAGCAGCTATAATGGCGTGAGTGGACGCCATTGCTTTTATCTCGTGGTCCCACATGATTATGGTTTTTAACTACTAGTTCCTCTAGAAAAGTGGGGCGAAATATATAACAGATCTTACTAAAATGTCAACTCAGCCGCCGGTTATAACCGTGCAGATTGCATGGATGAAAAAGGTCTCCACTTCCGTAAACATGGGACTAATACTACTTCCTTTTGGATGACACAATAAACACGTCATGTTTTCGTCCATTTAGGCTTTGAACGAATTGTGGTTTCACGTCCTCATATAGAATATATAGTTATATTTTACGAAAATATTCTATATGTGGTTAAATTAAATGAAATAATTGCCTTTTTGTAGAACTGAGGCTCTTATTCTGAAGGAGGTACTGTTCCTCGAATTTCTTCTTCTTTAGTTTACACAAAATAGAGACCTACCGGAACCAATCACAGACAGTCTTACTTAAGCGTCGTTGGCCAGCGTCGACCAATGAAACCCAACACGACAGGAAGTTTACGAACATACAACGAGCAAGCTAGCTTTCGGCGAATATTTTTGTTTTTACTAACTATTCGCGAAAGAGTAAGAATGGTTTGTGAAAAATGTGCGTATAATTTCTTTCACGTTAATTTTATTTTTAAGGCTCATCAATTACTGTTTTTTTGTTCTGTTTTAAAAGGCTAGTAGTATTTTATGTGCTAACCCTACGTCACTGGCAATCGTCACAGGGGTTAAAAGACTTGATTTCTGTAATTACTTTGACAATTTTGTTTGTAAACCTATTTTAATCAGGTGAGAAGAAGCTTGGGAAGGTCATTACTCCTGACACCTGGAAGGATGGAGCGCGGAATACGACAGGTAATTTAATCCTGATTTAGCAAATTTTGTTATGTGGTTATGTATCAGTTTAGATTGAATGGCCAATCATCTAAGTCTTTCATGACTGTTTTTATGAGATAACCTTTGATTTGGTCCAGTAATACCGAAGACTAGAATTTAAAAACGAAAGACTGACAAACTTATGCGTTTTTTACACAGAGAGTGGTGGGCGTAAACTTAATGAAAACAAGCTTTTGACGTCTAAGAAAGCAAGGTATGGTTGAATATAAACCAACTGACTGAGTTATATTTCTACTCTATATATTGACCATTGATATTTAGTTAGATTTCTGGTTGTTGTTGTTTTTGGTAACTGAATAAGAAAACATTGCAATTGTCATGGATCTGAGAATTTATTTCTTTTCCAGGTTTGATCCTTACAGTAAGACAGGCTTTGCCATCTGCAGGATCTGCAAGAGTTCAGTTCATCAGTCTGGGTCACACTATTGCCAAGGATGTGCATACAAGAAAGGTAAACATTTAGTCATACTGCAGCTCCTCTGTAGATAAAATCCCGTCTAGATCTTGCTGACAATAAGTGATAGAGTACCTCCACAAAAACTGATTTTTAGTAAAGGACATGAAGATATGAAATGCAGAGGAAATTGGTCAATATAAATGGAAAAATGTAGTGTAGCGTGTGTTTGAAATTATAAGAAGAAAACTGTAAAAATGCATGATGAGCAGTAAAAATGCATGATGAGCAGTT